GCAAAAAAAAAAAAAAAAAAAAAAAAAAAAAGGGATGATGATGATGATGTCTTTATTAGGAATTAGATGGTTTTAATGTTTTTTCTTAGGCCCCCTGCGTCAATTTTATACTGTGTTTTAAATAAGAGCTAATAATTGAATATGCAGGCGCATGTGTACTTCCGACATGGGAAATGGCATTTCACTTGCAATCAACCAAAATCTCCTACTTCACTTCCCCAGTCCACCCCGATATTCATTGGCTGATAATAGTCGCCGCTAAATGAAATAGTTTAATTTATTATTGTAGACAGATTAAGGTGACATGTTATGAAGCATAACTTGGCATGATGCTAACGCCCATGGTAATGAGAGGGGTGGACAAAATAACCTAATCAAATCAGAACCGAACCAAATCAAATTGAGCAGATTGGTTAAATGACGACGATGATGATAATTGGTTCTATTCTAGTTCTAGACAATAATTGGAGTCCATTTGGTAAAAAAAGTAGGGATCGGAGGTAATAGCACCAAACAATAACACTGTCGTAATTTCAATATAGTACGAGGACAATATCTCACCGTTCTAGTATTCGTCAAGATCGAAACTTTGTGAACTTGATATTGAAGATGTTAAGTTCGATATGAATTAAATAGAATGTCATTTGGAGGTGAGGAATATCAATTATGAAAATTATGAATTCCCAATCAAAAAACTAAAATAAAAATTATATTAGTGTCACTTAAAATTTTCTTACAAGTCCATATTTGAGTCCCATCTTTAAAAGTTCATTTTTTTAGACTCATTTTTCAGCCACATATTTTTTTAATAAATTCATTTTACACTTAAATTCAAAAAAATTCTCTATTTTTTTTAATCATTCATTCTATCAAAATATGGAACTCAAACAAATCCTCAAGTCCATTGGCATGCTTGGACTTGAGGTTTTTCTTGCAATTACAACATTATTGGTTGCTGCATTGCGTACAAGAAAGAATAGTAGAACAAATTATAATTTTGCTATAAAAGTGTAATTGACCCATCCCAACCGTCCAAATGTGCTAAGGTACAATACTATTGCGTGTTGTTGTTAATTTATCCTCTTGCCAAACAAGAAACGCAAAACCAAACAACTAAAAAATTCTCTTTGAAATTCCTCATCAAGTTTTGGGAAGATGATGCATATGACTCTCTACTGGGGCAAAAAGGTTACGATTTTGTTTGATTCATGGAAAACCGATTCATGGACCAGCTATTTCCTTTCTCTTCTTGCGTGCTTCCTCGTCTCCGTTTTCTACCAGTACATGGAGGATCGCCGCCTCCGCTTCAAGCTCCTTTCTGTCAAAACCCAAAAGTTGTCCAATGGGTCGGCTGCCCTCAACAGCCCTTTACTCTTGTCCAATTTCGCCAGCAGAGGCGGCAAATGGGCTGCATCAAGATTTGCCGGGGCGATTTTATTTGGAGTCAACTCTGCGATCGGTTATCTTCTTATGCTGGCCATCATGTCTTTTAATGGCGGAGTGTTTATAGCGGTGGTTGTGGGGCTTGCAATTGGGTACTTGGTTTTCAGGTGCAGCGATGAAGAAGTGGTGGTGGTGGAGGACAATTCATGTGCTTGTTCTTGAGTCTTAAAATATTTTTCATTTTCGATCTTGAATCTGTTAGATCATATGTAAAGTTTACTGAAATGAATATTCGCATTATTTTTACTGGATATGTTATGTAATTCTATCTTCTTTGGGATGTGGTATATTTTCTTGATTGTTTGCTCAGAGCTATTTCTGGGTTAGAAAATTCTTAACTTTAACTCTTTATCTTTTTACCTACTGGGAATGGGCAGTTTTTGTATCCTTATTGGTGAAATTTGCATATTGACAGAGACCGGAAATGGGCTGGCAGAGAAGATTGGTTATGACATGAGACACAACCTGTTTTTAAGCATCTTAATCGAAAACAATTTGTAAATATTCCATTTCGTTCACAAGATTCACTCAAAGGAAATCCCCGGTAAGATTCCAAGAATTGTTAGGTAGTTCAGCAAGTCAACAAATACATTTTTGCACAGATTTTGTGAAATTTAACAGAACTCTAGATAAAGCAAGTAAAAGAAACAGCGGATTTACAGTTGAGCATGAGTTGAATCGATGAAAGAATAATCAGCTGTTTCAGACACAATCCAAAGCTAAAAGTTGACATGCTTTACATTGCTTCCATGAACACTAGTAATGTTCTACAGCTCCCTCTAGCAAACCTTCTCCAATCCATAAACTGAAATGGATTGGAATTCCTCTGCAGAGGCAACAAAACAACTTGATAAGAAGGAACTATAACGTGTTCCTCTCTTCATTTTCCTGTCAATTTTGATCAGCGAACACAGAACTCCTCCATGATCACTGCTACCGCTGATCCTCAATTTTCAACGGGACTAGTTCACTCTCCTGTCGTTGACCTCTAGGTTTCAAACTCTTTGGGAACCATCTGTGGCAGCTTTCTGGTAACCTGGCAGGATAACATGAAGCAACAGTCAACTTTGAAACAAAATAAAGTGTTAAACCAACTGATAGGAATTAACAAGCAAATAATACTAACGATAATATGAGCAAAAATTAAGAGAACTCAGTTCAATTTAATGAAATATCGAGTTGTGCCATCCAGAAGTAAACTCTATGTTACTTTGTTCACATGTGTGATAATTGGGAAGTAACAGTCATTGATGAAAATGTGGCCAGCAAATACACAATAAAAATTGGCTTGTTACTTACAGATCCAATCTTTCATAAATTGCCCTTCGCACTGACGAGTTCAGGCCATATGCTATTGAGTTGAAGAGGCCCTGAAAAGGATTGATGGAAATCGTGAAGTTGGGTCTCCCATTGGAGTAGTAGAGATTACATTTCTTTTCTGAAAGCATGAGTTTATCGAGATTTCAGAATTACCATGAGAGCAGCCATTCCAACATCAAGCACTGAAAGCCAAAATATTTTATGACCTGGTTCAATAAAGTCATGGATGCGGTTGATTGTACCAAAAAACCAAGACCCAATAAGAATAAGGGGATAGTAACCCCATCGGTTCAGTGCCTGTTAAGGGAGAGGGTGATGATATGTAAAACTTAATTTGACTTTTCCTGAACATTACGTACATTGAATATAGAACAGAAGTATCTGCTAATGAAAATGATTGATATATGTGCTCAACATTCCATGACTACATTTCACAAGGGAATGGCAGCAAGATCAGAGAAAGTATGATTTCAAAAAATCATAAGCAACACGTAAATAGGTCAATGCTGTAATAGACAACAAAAAATCATATATATGTCGTTATTGAAAGAAGGATTCACACAATTTCTAAACCATGCAGAAGAGGGATGAGATAGACTTCAAACATCGAGACATAAATAGGTCAATATGCTATAATAGACAAAAACACAATTATATATGTGTCGTTGCTGAAAAGAAGGATTCACACAATCCAATCTAAACCATAAAGAAGATGGATGAGAGAGACATAAGTAAAGATGCAGGTAAAAATATTCTCCCATTCAAAAAACTTCACCAAAAGAAGAACACTGATGATACATTAAGCCACGATGCAATAAAAGGCATGTACCGCTATGCGACACCAGGTTGCAACATCAATTTTCTTCAAGAAAACATAATCTTGATCCAAAGTTTTTAAATTTTCAGACGTTATGTAGAAATATGTAGAACAGAACTCAAAACCTTCGTATCTGGCCATGCATCTGATTGGTGTGATCGCTCAGACATTCCCGCTAACATCTGGAACAACAAATCATGCATCAATGTGGCATCAATCCATCAAACATTCAAAAAGGATTTTAGGCACCTCAATCCTATTCCAGGAACACAAGAAGGAAATGAAGCATCTAGATAATAGTAACATACACGAGTGGCATTGTTTAACATGCGTATCACTTGAAAATAGGTGATGCCATTGAAAAGAATAGCCCCCCAGAGAGGTGCATAAAATGTTATGAAGTGAACCACCTGCAGGAATAAATAGGTTACCAACAAATTTAATAGTCCAGGGGAATGAAAGCAAGATAAAGACGTTATAGATGAGATTACGGAGGCCCAAAAATAATTCAATGTCAAAAACTCGACCTCTAATGGCTCTCGATCTTATGATTAAGACTTTGTAATAATATCACACTTCATATTCCTTATCAATAAATCTTTTTGCCCGATCTTATTACATGAGTTTTATTAAATGTATCCTTGACTTTCTAAATCTACTTTTTAAGATAACAAAGGTTTTTGTCATAAAATTTTCTTTGTCATCTTTTGCAGTGCTATCATCTGAGTGAAACGTAAAGTTAGGAATTAATGGAAAGTCAAAATCTTGTCAAAGCTCGGGCCATAATCCTTCTCCACATAAACTAGCCACTTTAGGCAAAAGGCTAAATCTTGTTTCAACTATACCCAAAGAATAACTTGTTGCATATGAGTTTCTGTAAACTATAATGTTAAAATGATAAACAAAAGAATAAATTTTCGACTCGTGACGATCTAGAGTCCTTACAGGATTCACCCTCTCATAAATACATAATATCACGAGCTAAGGAAGAAAAATATTGGTGTGTGAATAGTTAACTTACAGCCTTGATTAGTAATCTAGTATATTTGTTCATAATATATGCAAGATCATTTACATGGATTGCCCAAAATCTGCAATAGACTGCATAAAGTGTAAAGCACCAACATCCTCGAAAACAGGTCTAATAATCCTTATTCAATACTTACCAGCATTCAATGACGTAAAATCAAATAGACTACAGATCTAAGAAAATGTCTAGATTTCCAGAAATGCAGCAAGGAAATTGTACATATGCCTTCAGAACTTTCAATTAAGAAAGATTACCGGTGATAAAATTACTTTATACACTTGCCTTTCCTGTACGTCCTGATTGTGCCCAACACCAAGTGCCTAAGCGACGTATATGCCCATGGTCATTGCCAATAGAGCGTATAACTGTCATGACAACCGAAGTACCTAAAAGAGGAGTTGAACATCCAATCAGGGGTAAAGAAAGATGAAAGCATAGAATTTCGAACATAGCACTAAAAAGGAACCCCAGAGGAAACAAGAGACACGAAAGCATATAGAGAAAATAGCTATACATTTCAACTGAGCTAATTGGTTATCATGTAAAAAGGCATACCCCAAACGTACAAATGAAACATGGACTCTAGATCCTCTACATCAGTTTTGTGTCTAACAACTGTTCTGTGTAGAGTAAAAGCGATCGTCGTAGTCCACAGAAAAGAAGCAACACAGAAAAAGTGTGTCGTGTAACCCTGAGCATAACAAAAGAATCCTTTAGATGGATCCCTGCACAAAAGAAGAATAAAGATAGGAAATTTAATTTTTATTGAATAAAAATGACACTAGAATTGATTGTATTTAGCTGCTACGTTCATACCCAATGATGCTGAAGAAACTGCAAAACATGTCCTGTACCAGAATAAAGCAATACCTTAAAGATATGCATTTTATTGTGCATTTTAGACACAGATAACAATGAACAAAGAAGTTTATCTTCTAAGAACATGGTGAAAGAGAAACAAACGAGAAAAACTGAAAAGGCCTGTGAGAATTTGCAACATTAGAAAAACATCAGAATGGGATTCCCAAAAGAAATTGATATAAAGGTTTTCATAGTCGGCCATTGGGTAAACATGTATACAGTCACACAAAATTGAGGTTAAAAAAAAATAATAATAATAATAAATCACACATACATCCAACTGACAGCATATAAAGACTATCAATGAAGAGCTGTCGAGCAGAAAAATGTTTGATGCTATTAGGGTTGATCAAGAAATATTTCATGTGACATCAACTAAAAACTATAAACAGGCCACAGCATCAAGTTCCAGGACCAATACAAGCTTCAAAGGCTTTAGAATTAAAATTGAGAAACAGAATCCAGTTTGGAGACCTTAACTGCGCCTAATCAATTACATTTCAAATCGTAAAAAATTTCAAACTTAACACCTTCCATTTTTCTTTTCTGCAGCTACATGACCTAATTTAATTTGAGACAATACCAAACGTGGTATCAGTCCAATTTTAACTCTCAGACGCAACGATAAAACCTTGGTCACGATTATCCGTAGATCAAGTAATTAATGACAATATTAACAACATTGATTAAATGTCAATAGTTGGAAGTAAAATAAATAAAAAATTGAAATGCGGAAACATTTACTGAGAGGGCGAGGAAGAAAACGAGCTTGAAGGAGAACTTGCGGAGCTCCTTGAAGAGTAAATAGCATAGTACAATGAACCCGGAGCCTACGAAGGAGAGGCTGGAGGCTCCGGTGTTGATGGCCGTTAAAATAATTTTTTATATTAAATCGCCTGCTTGGTTGACCAATTTTCAAAATTATTTTTAAAAATTTTGGATTTATGACTTGAACTTTGGACCTTAAGGTTAGATGAAGAGCACCTAGTGACTGAAAAGTGATAGTTTATGATTATTTTTACACGATAATATATATGTATCGCATAAATCATGAATAATTTTTTAAAAATATTTTGAAAACAATTTTAGTCCAACACTTTAATTTATTTTTGAATTATAGAAAAGTTGAAATTTGTGCTACAAATGACAACGCTTAATGAGTTTAGAGGACTAGTGGCTGTTTTTCTCGTGCAAAAATCGCATACCACACACATTCACACATATAGCTCTCTACTTTACTCAAATCCAACTTGAGCACATATTGAGGGTCGTAAATGCCCTCAGGGACGAGCCCAACTTAATTTTAATGCGTATTGCATACTATAATTCAAGGGCTTAATTTAAAGGTTCGTTTCAAGCCTCGAAAACTCAAAGTCTGGCCTTGATTGAATTTCACGCCGTACTAAACAATATTTCTAGTTTTGTCCCTAAAGGCTTCTTGGCTTGGACTATGGCTGATGAAATGAGAGATAAATGAAGAGGGAATATGTTCAATATTGGAATTTAAGAGTAGAGATTGGAGAATTGTGCGATGTCATGAAAGTAGCTTCAACATTGCACAGGATGGACGAGGACGTGAGGGGTGGACGGGGGTTTGTTGAAGAAGATGAAGTATTTAGGGTTGTTGTTGGTGGTGGTGGGGCAGGCTTTTAAATTCTTTTGGCTTTTTAATTTAATTATTTCAATTATTGATATGTCATTGACGAAAATATCCATGTTTAAATTAGCCAAAATATCCAATTTTTCCATATATTAGGTCAATTAACTGTGCAACTCACGATTTTCATCCATTTGGGCCTTTACGGTAAGGGACATTCGTTGGTATAAAATGAGTGTTGGGGTAAAGTCTATAAAAATGTGAAAGGTTAGGGATCGCTGTTGCAATTATCCCTATATGACATATGAGCGACAATAAATGATAAATCCAATTAAATAATTTTACGTGATTCATTTAATTGATTTTTACATGTGATGTCATAGAATAGTGTTTTAGTACTAAAAGGTGCTAAATTCATTACCCAAAATGTAATTACCATCTAGGTAGGTTAGAATTTGTGTGGTTTGATTAATTCTTTTTGGAGAAGTCATACCAAGAAGCACCTGCTTCTGCATGAACTTGATTATAAATTATAAAAAAAAGTGTGTTTGGTGACGAGGTTGCCCACTGGTAACTTCAAGGGTACCATTTCCAACAACAAAACTGACCCATTTATTTATTACGGATACCGTGCGCAATAGATGTTGAAAATGACAACGATATCATCTCACACATGCTTGGAGGCCGAGAAGAAAAGGTTAAAAAACGACTTCAAATCTATCGTTTCATCTGTTGTCCTTCCATAAAATTTGAATTATGCTACACAAATTGGCTAAAATATAAATTCAAAAATAAAGGACACACATGTCAATTTATGATTGGACTATTTGAAAAATAAAAACAACAAACACCCATTCATCTGCTGCCAAGTCAATCAACTTTTTTTCCTCATCTTTGAATCTAGACAAACATCGTTACTCATAAAATTTACACACTCAGTTACACTTTTATAGTGGGGAAATTTTACGTAATACATTAAGCCCCTTTTTGGGCTACATTGATGTATTTTTGGAAAAAAAAATTTAGAATAGTGATATTTTTAAGAATATATAGTTAAAAACAAAAAGAAAAATATTTTTGTTTACATGTAATATTATTTTATTAAAAAATATATAGTTAAAAAGAAAATAGGAAAAAAAATCAAATTTTAATAAAATGGAGCCCAAACAAGAGTTAAGCTTTTATTTAAGGAACAACAAAAACAAGATAACATATCTGAACTATAAACTTTAATGAAATCTCGTGTCTTGTCAATTTTATCTTGAGTGAAGTTAGTCTTTCACTAAGAGTGTGTTTGATTGACATGGAAAATATCACCTAAAAAAGAAAATATTTTTCATCTTTTGTGGAAAATAAAAACCACCTCTACCCAAGGAAAATATTTTCCTTAAAAACAAGGAAAATTATGCATATTTTCAAAAGTTGGAAAATGTTTTCCATGGAAAAAAATAGCAATCAAACACTCAAAGTAGGAATTTGGGTGGAAACTGATATTTTCCATAGAAAATAAATGTAATCAAACACATCCTAAGTTCATGTTTAGTAGAGATTAAAATTTAAATTTTAATGTAAGTTAAATTTAACAATTAATTTTATCTACATATTTTATGGGATTCATAACTTTTCAACCACACATCTCATCAACTTTTATCAAAATCTACTAAAAATCTAACCATTATATCCCCCAAACATAGACTAAGTAAAGCTTCATATCGCACAAAATTATGCATTAATAACATTTAGATAAAATTTTATAAGCAACTGCTAATTCTAAAAGTTGACGTGTCAATTGCTAGTTAGTTACAAATAAGTATATAGTCACATGAATTTTTCCTTTAATCAAATTAATGTACATAGATGGAGCAATCAACTTGAAATAAAATTTAAGTTCAGTGACTAACTCGATACAAAATGAACCTTTGTGACTAAAATGAAAATCTATGAAAAGTTGAGTGACCACAAGAGTATTTAACGTTTTAAAAGGACACCAGAAACCCGTTCTCTTATCCCTGTTTCAGTTATCTTCCTCCCTCCCTCCCTCTCTCCCTCCCTCGATCCTCTGGGGTACAGATACAAATACAATGGTAGCTTCCTGTCTCAGCCTCGTCTCCTTGTACGGAAGCTATCTCCGCCGCTGTCTCGCCACCGCCGGCCTGTCTTCTCAGACAATAGACATTGACGGTGACACCTCCATGCACTTCTGGGGTCCCAACCGCATGAATTCCTCCACAACCAATTCTAAACCTTCATTGATCCTGATTCAAGGATTTGGTCCACATGGCATTTGGCAATGGCGTTCACAAATTGTGTTTTTCTCAAGCGAATTCGACCTCTACGTGCCCGATCTACTATTCTTCGGTGAATCTTATACAAGATCCTCGGATAGGTCAGAAGTTTTCCAGGCGGTTTGTGTTACGAAGCTTCTCGAAAAATTAGGGATTCAGAAGTACTCTGTTGTTGGAACGAGTTATGGCGGTTTCGTAGCTTACCACATGGCAGCGAGGTGGCCGGAGAGGGTGGAGAAGGTGGTGATCGCCAGTTCTGGGGTGAACTTGCAGCGGAAGGATAACGATGAGTTGCTTAAAAGAGCCAAGGTTGAGAAGATTGAGGAGTTGATGTTGCCCGCGACGGCCGGGCAGCTTCGGACGTTGATGAGCCTTTCTGTTTTCCGGCGTACCTACATGCCTGATTTCTTGTTAAATGACTTCATTGACGTAAGTTCTTCCAATTATTGACGATTTTAACTAAATAAGGTGATTCTGCATACAACATAGCATTTTCTCATTGCTAATATTTCCTCAAATCCTTCTCATAAAAAATGTCGTATTGTTCTTGAGTTCTAATTTCATTAAAACGAACCCTAATCGGTGGACATTGTTGCTGATTTTTACCTTGTCTCTGTGCATTAAATGAAAATGGAAGCAGCCAAATATTGTTGGGCTCTATGTTTACCTGTACTTTAATTAAGAGCTAGTTGATTGTTGGAAAGAAAGTGGACGCCATTGAACTCTCTCTAAAATAGAGTTAAGGGTCCGTGATAGTAAAAATAGAATTTGGGTGAAAAGAAAATGAATTTTATGGAATTGAATTGCCTAAAATTTGTTTTATTGAAAATTGTCTATTAAACATGCTTGATTGATATAATTTTCCACCTAGAAAATATTGAAATTTTGGATATTTTAGTGTTGGTTCAGCTTAATTTTCATGAAAATTGTCAATTAAAGGAATAATTTTTTTTTATAATTGGAGATATAATTTGTTTCAATTGCCAAAGAAGAGAAAAGAAAAAAAGAAACCTGGAAAACCAAACCCATGGGAAAACATTTTCCTCAAAAAGGTGGAAAATGGGGTGTGCCAAGAAAATTTGGCCAATCAAACATGCACAAAGGTGGAAAATAAAATTTAATTTCCTATTTCCATGAAAAATTTGTTGTATCAAACAAAGCCTAAAGTCAAATTAATTAGGAAAATTTGTAGCATAAGTCAGAACCTATTATAGCATCTCCAAGAAATTGTTTAAACATGAAATATTCTCTATTTTAAAAAGTCAAATTTTAAAATCATGCTCCAAGAAATTATTTAAATTGACATTTTAATTTAAAGATTGAGTTTTTATGATTAAATACATTCAAATGTTTCAATTTTCAATGTAGAAAAATAAAAAGCTAATTTAAAAAAAAAAGCTAGTTAAAATAAAAGATAGAGAGAAATAATGAATATTTTTTGGAAGAAGTAAAATTAAGAGTTAAATATAAAGAATTTGTTGGAATAAAATTCAAAATTTTTAACTCTCTAAATTTATAAATACTCTCCAAATGAGATAGAATATGTTATTTAGAAATAGAAAGTCTCTTGAAAATGCTCAAAATGTGTGAATGGATGCCAAATTATCTTTTAGAATAATGCCACGTAGAATGTACAATTAGTGCTTAGCACCAATCTGGTAACGGTGGATTCTTATCGCTTCATTGTCCAATGAAACGTCTTAGGCTCCAGCATTAGCATGGTAGAGGATCCGCACGTGCAATTCAAGTATTAGGTGAAGCGTAGCTAAGGGTTTTAACTTATGGCCTGCCCACAGACCTTGGTTTCATCCCCGGCGAGTCACCTTCTCTGCCACTATTGGTGCTTCCCCACCTCGTTCCCTGTTCTAAACTACGCAGAGATTTAAGTATTACATACTTGAGAGGTTGTCGGATCAAAATATCAATAAAATAGAGAGAAAAAAAATCTTAAATGCTACATTATCCTTAGGTCGGTAAGTCTCCACTCAGGTTTTTCCAATTAATTTTAATTCCAGCCACCAACTTGACCAAAAAGTCTAATTGGGTGGTTTAATTGACATTTTAATGGCCTACATTCTAATGGGATCATTCAAGAAAATAGTTACAGGGATATAAATAATTAAATAATTTTCTCAGCGAAGGATCTTACTTTAAAGAAAGGACTAGAAAATTCTGAATTGCTTATAAAAGTAATGGAACTGCATAATTTATGATTGCAAATGGGCACAGAAATGGTATACTGACAATAAGAAGCAGAAGCTGGAACTCTTGAAAGGACTCACTTTGGGACTTGATGACTCAGTAAACATATCTCCTCTCCCACAGGTACGTGTATTATTTTCTTGGTTTGTACCTCAACGTGACACGAGTGTTTGTTCTAGGTAAATCTTAATCAATTTGAAACGATTTTTGCAGGAAGTGTTGGTTATATGGGGAGAACGAGACAAGATATTTCTATTAGAAAAAGCTCATGAGCTCAAGAAGTAAGTATTTCATTTCATACATAAATACACAAACTTGTATATAAAATTAAGTGATTAATATTGGTATGTTTTTGTTTATTATTGCAGATTACTAGGGGACAAGGCCAGATTAGAAGTCATAAAGAACACCTCACATATTCCGCAACTTGAATGTGCAGCGAAGTTCAACAACATTGTCAAGAATTTCTTGTGCGAATTGTCATGACTTTTATCTTTTAGTTTGAAATTTGTAATAAAGGGTTTTGATTTTCTTGGGTGAAGCTTCTGAAAACTGTCCCCAGTGGCATATAATGCTAGGAAGATTCCTGGATTTGGAGGCGAAACTGATCTGAGTTTGAAAAAATATTATTATGCCCCAGTTTGGCCCCTATTTTTTTTTTTTTCAAATTTTAATACGTGGAATAGTATTTTTTGAAAAATGCGTGGTTGAAAAAGAATGAAAATTTTTCGATTTACGTGTAATATTATTTTATAGAAGATTGTGTGGTTAAAAATAAGAAATAGAAAAAAAAAAGTGAAAAGAGAATGGGGACCAAAAGGGGGCTATGATTTGTATTTGGAAATTTTTTTAAAAAAAATAAAAAAATCTATCAATAAATTAGGCTCTCATTGAATACGAATCTTTTGATCAACTTTTATCAAAATTTACTAAAGATCTGATTTTAATCTCCACTAATCAATTTTTCATTAATCAGCATATCTTGTCATCATTTTCATCAGAAAATCCATTAAAAGAGTAAAGAGACTTATTCATTTTTCACATTTTGAATAAGAAAAAAAATGTAAAATTGTGGCTAATCATTTTTCCTTATTTATATAACAAGTTAACAAATTTTTTTGGATAAAAACCATTAATAGAAACAAGATGTGTTGTTAATTAGTGGAAGACTATGGATGACAATATGATGAAAAGATGTTAAGGACTTAAATGTGACAATGAATAAAGATGAAGGACTCTATATACATTTTAATTTAAAATAAATATAACTAGCCTTATTTATTTAACTCTATCTATTAAACCTGCCAAATAGTCGATGTGGACTTAATTTTCATTTCATAAAATATTATTTTTAGCATTGTTTTTTAAAAAGGACAAGAATAAACAAAAATAAATCCACTAACTTCTTGACGACACGCGTAGACGGCATTGGAGTGTGAAATTTTTCCCCAAGAGTCAAAAATGCCGTCCCCCCGGTTTTGGTTCCCATTTTCTTCTTCAGCTCTCTCCACGAAACTCAGATCAACACTGCAATCTCTCATCACCGTTTCCATCTCTGGTTAGTACATTTTACACTCTGTAGATTTTTATACAAACATGTACGTATGTACTGTGCTTACATATATATATTCATCTATTTATACACATGCATTCATATGAAGAGTGAAAGTTTCTTGAAAAAATTAATCTTGCAAGAGGGACAGATTAATTTTCTATTGGACTCAACTTGGGGATTTGAAATTGGTAGATAAGAATATGTAGAAATTGGCTCATAATTTAATTAATCATTTCTTTTTTGGGAAGTAAAATTGAGACTTGAAAGCGTCGCCCCTTTTTTTTCTTTTTATTCTCTTGGATGTGCCCAGCAGCCCACTTTTCGACAAATAAACTTGAAGAGTTGAGGGTGCTCAATTTTCTAGCATTTGGATTGCCTAGTTTTCAAGATTTGTGAAAGTATAACATTCTTATCTAAAATGAGTTTTTAAAAAAACTACTGGGATTTAGTTTGCCTTTGATATGGTTGAAAACTGAACAGTGAAGAAAAACGGTGGTATAGTTGGAAGTGATTAGGCAATTGGATGTAGACTATAAATGCCATTTGTAGGAATATGTGAGGGCTACAACTGTTAAGTCATCAAGTATTGGTCTTGCCATCCATATCTCAACTAGATTGATTGAATATTTAGATTATAACAGTTTGAATGATTTTGAAACTTGGTTATCAAGTATGTTCTTCACTGGATTTGTTGAATATGGGTATTGTAACAGTTATACTGCATCTCATCACTCGCTATCTCCTTGGTAATACAACTTTAGACCATATGTCTTGTGCAACAAGGTTGGCAAGCACGATTACTTAAATGAAGAAACAAGATTTTGATTGAACTTGGAAATTATGACTTGGTCAAGCTGTAATACCCCCAAATCTTTTATAATCATTAATTATGAAAATTAGAACCTTAGTTTAAAAGTATGAAAGTTAGAGGATCAAATTGAGGGCGTACGTAATTGTAGTATCACTATATTTAAAATCAATCAGCCATACTTATAAATATATAGGTGTACGTAAATGTTGTAACACTATATTTAAAATCAAATAGGCACAATTATATATAATTATATTCATATATAGATGTACATAATTATTGTAATCATGCAATTAAATCAATCAATCATAATTATATACAATTTTATATATCAATACACATATACCATAAAAATATTGATATCTTACTTATTTAAAAATGAATCTTTCTAATTTATCTTATATATATATGAAATTATCTTTCATATATATAGAAGTTTACTTAATTTCCACAATCAATAATATTATATACATATGTAGATGCACGTAATCATAGTAATCATATAATTTAAATCAGTAAGTCATAATTATATTCATATACAGATGTATGTAATTACAGTAATCATACAATTAAATTAATCAATCATAATTATATACACAATTATATATATCAATACACATATACCATAAATATTCATATCATAAATATATAGTTTACGAAATTGCACTTATAGTCCCTCAACTATTCGAACCTCAACTATTCGTACCTTAGTTTAAAAGTATGAAAGTTAGAGGATCATGTATAATTACGATTGATTGATTTCAATTATAGTGCTACTATAATTATGTGCATGTATATATGTATAATTATATATACTTACGATTGATTGATTTAAATTATAGTATGACTACAATCACGTGCATCTATATATGTGTAATTGTGTATAATTATGATTGATTGATTTAAACTATATGATTTTCATAATTATGTGTATCAATATGTGAGTGTGTGTGTGTAGTTATGATTGTTCCATACTACACGCATAATTCATAAACAGTTGTTTAAGGTCCAAGTTCTTCCGTACGTATTTTGTCAAATCCTCTTCAGAGTTATACAAAGTAAATGTAGTCATACATTGTATTTTAAATCATTTTTCATGCTTTAAAATACAGAATTCCAAGTTATGAATATGATATGGTCCTGTATGTTTAAGTTTAAAGGACCGGAGTTTAGTAGCGCTACGTACGGGAATTATAGCAACGAAGTACGGTTCTTAATTCCAGTGTCTCCCTATGTATGTTATGATTATGTACAGAGATTATGACCACCTAAGTTCGATTTTTAATCCCCGTATCCTCTTATGTACGTTAAGAATTCCTAAATTTTAAATATAATTATGATTTATGTGGCTCACTTATTGGGATTTTATCTCACTATCTATGATTTTCCCCCTTCTAGGTAATTGATATTCGAGGCGTTGAAGTTTAGAACAGGTCTCCAGTGGTATAATAAAGAAAAATGATTATGATTTTTGAATAATAATTTAATGTTTATGATTAAGTATTTGTTTTTAATTATTATTAAGAACAATTATCTTTTATGAAAGATTTATTTTACGATACGCTTTAATGATCAAAGGAAAAAATTTGGATCGTTACACAAGCCCTATCTTGGAGGATTGTAGCTTAATTATATTGGCTTTTAAAGAAATATTGCTTTGCAAATTAGGATAGGGTACATTGTTCGGAGATTGGCAGAAGGGAGTTAAGATTTAATGCTGAAAGTATGGGATCACTGTGCAGTAGAGACCAACGTAACCATCAGTCTGATACTGAAGAAAAGTCACGGGTACGTCTTTCTTGGTACATTCATAATTTCTTTTCACCTAATGATTTTATAATATTACACAAGTCTCCTCTTTTCCATTATTCATATCATCATGGCAATGAATTTAGTTTTTGACATGAATGTCAGACTGCACAAATAGAGAGACAAATTGATCAAGAAACAAAGGCAGAGAAGCATATACAGAAACTTGTACTGCTCGGTAAATTGATTTCCAACTTTAGTTTTGGTTCTGCTAGGGGTTCAATTTAGTGATAACATCTGTTATATAGTTAATCGATTTCGATTTGGTGATCAAATATAATGCACAAGCTCTATTGTACAATTTGAGATTTTCTCAGTGTTCTCTACATTTGGGAGAGACATGTGAGTAGTATATATTTAGAGACAAATAGGTGAAAATTATTGTATAATTTTACTTTTTTGTAGGTGTTTACATATACAGTCAGAACTTATTAAGATTCCATAATGGTCCATTCGATAACTAATTATACCCCATAAAGTTCAAAAACTGCTATACAATCTCATAATATGAAAGTAGACTTCTTTCTATAAGTTATTATGATACTATAATCTGGCAATTGACAATGTCTAGTATGCCATGAATTTTTCAGAGGCTGCACGAACATGTTTCCATATATATATATTTTTTAAAACTTGCACACATATGTATAGATTCATATATAGATATATTAGTGTGTGGGCATGTCCGTATTTTGCTTTTGTGCAATTGTGATTCTTTCTTGAGCTAATTAATGGATGTTTCACATAATACATTTTTTTCCCGTTTCGTGGCTAAGGTGCTGGAGATTCAGGGAAGTCAACCATTTTCAAGCAGGAAAGATGTCTTTTTTCTCCAATGAGATCATGAATTATATCGTGTGGTTTCTGAAATTATCTTCAAATGAGTAACATGTATATGTGTGCTTATTGCCATGCAGATAAAACTTTTGTTTTTGAGTGGTTTTGATGAGGAAGAGCTGAAGAGTTACATACCGATCATCCATGCCAATGTTTATGAAACAATAAAAGTACGCTATATCTCTTACAGTCTGCTAGTTACTTATTTCTCTTTGGTAATATGCAAAATATTTAAATGGCATCTATTGATAGAGATGTGTATATGTAGATATTTGAGATTAGAAGGGTGGATTTTAATTTAGTTTTGAATTATTGCCCACAGATATTACTTGATGGATCAAAGGACTTGTCTCAAACTGAAGCAGATTCCTTGAAGTATGTTATATCTGATCGAAATAAGGTTTGAATCAATTTCTTAACAGCATAATTTTCTTGGTCCTTGCTTGTCTTTGTTTTAGTACTCGGAGCATCACATAAATTAAAAAAAAAAAAAACATATTAGATTCTACAACTTATACTATAATTCTCGATTAGAAGCCTTTCTCTGGTGTAAAAATGAAGTCTGCACTTCAACATTCTGTTGTTGGGAATGAAGTTCAATCTATTTCAATGCATCAGGAGATTGGGGAGAAACTTTCAGAGATATGTGATAGGTTGGAATATCCATGTCTCACTAAAGAGTTGGCACAAGAGATTGAAGCTTTTTGGAGAGACGATTCAATACAGGTTTACTTCATCAGAATGGCTAATAACTCCAGTTCTTTAATATATGTCTCTTTCAATGATATCATTGACTTGAATACTTGATGAAATAATTAGAATATGTTCATAGATTTGGTGCAGCAAATGTTTGATGGTGGCCTCTTTTGACTTCACAGGAAACATATTCACGTGGAAATGAGCTTCAAATACCGGATTGTGCCCATTATTTTATGGAAAATTTACAAAGATTGTCTGATAGAAACTATATTCCTACAAAGGTAGGAATAATATGAATTCTCTCATTTAGTTTTCTTTTTGTTTCTTATACAAATTGAAAAGAAACCAGTCACAGATGTGTCCTAGTCCTTGTCACCGTGCCAGTATACGTAAAATTGGCCTTTTCCTTTCTCAGGTTTGACTGGCCATATTTTAGGAAATTCCGCTTAATCACATCACTTGAGGTTAATGTACCACCTACGCAACATAAAATTCTGAGGCACTGCAAACCATGTCAAAATTTGTGGCTCTTTTTTTGCAAGATTTTGTGGCTCTAAAAGGAGATTTTTGTTTCACTTTAATACTGCAGAAGTTAAAATCTTGATCAGTTTATTCAATGTGTCTTTCAGCTCCTTACAAATTCAATTACCAAGTAACAAAAGGTTAAACTAGTTATCTCATATTATCCCGTTGAGGAGAAAATCTTTTTATCACTCAATTAGATGGCGTCTCCTTTCTTGTTCATTTTCTTCACTGGTATGATGTCAAGTGCATCTTGTATGTTTCCCTATCATATTTACTTACTATGGACTTAATGAGCTTGGGTGGACTAAGGTAAAATTTTTGTTTAAACTTTCAAACTGCTACTGTCTTACCGTGGACCTTTCTCTTTTCAGGTTGTCTATTGATATTGAGTATTTTTTTAAATCATTTTTGTAACCTTCTACTACCCTTTATCTTTCCTTTTTGTCACCCTTTATAACTCTTGTTGCTATAATTAAATTGTTGTGCACTTGATTAGTATTCTTATTCTTGTTTAGGAAGATGTTCTTACTGCCCGGGTTCGGACAACTGGTGTTACACAAATCCAGTTCAGGTGATATCCAACTGCTGCAAATGTTTTTTTATTTTCACCACCGACATAAGCATTTTCTGTATTTGAATTATTCCTGTGGCTTAACAGACACCCTTCCCCAAAGCATTTATTGTCATACCATGGTGATATAACAGCAAGATGAAGTGAACTTGACATCTTGCTCGTGGGCAAACCAATCATTGTTGTAAAATACCAGATTACAGCCGCCCTCCATCGCCTATGGCATGTCATTCACCAATATTTCTTCATTTTCAGGAATAGAAGCAATCTGTTTTCCACTGCTACATCTGCATCATTAATAATACTAGAAATTGATAATAGATTCCGTAAATTGATCCCAGGAGTCATACAAAATATTCTTTCATCATTGAAATGTTTACAGCCCAGTTGGAGAGAACCAAAAAGGTGAAGCATATCGACTTTTTGATGTCGGAGGTCAGAGAAATGAGAGAAGAAAGTGGATTCATCTATTCGAGGGTGTTACTGCTGTGATATTTTGTGCAGCTATAAGCGAGTAAGACTGATGTTGCCTTCGCTTAATAGCTAGTTATTTTATACTCCAAGTTATGGTCATATTATCTGCAACTCTGCTGTTCGTAACTTCCAAGACCTCTATGCTTTGAATGAAACAGTACATGAATGGAGATTTTATTTAAGCTTTGTTTCTTCAAGTTGATTGTGTCGTAATTACCACATGGTATCATCACTGTGTTTCAGGTATGATCAAACACTTTTTGAGGATGATAACAAAAATCGACTGATGGAGACAAAGGAACTTTTCGAATGGGTCCTGAAGCAACCATGCTTCAAGGTTTTATTCATATCTATTCTTTAACGTCCATCTTATGTTAATTCAGTTTCTTTGGTGTGTACGTTTGACATGAGTGAATGATTTGTGCCTTGTCCTTTTTTGCAGAAAACTTCTTTCATACTATTTCTCAACAAATTTGATTTATTTGAGAAGAAGGTTCTCAAAGTAAGGTTACAGTTATTTTTTATTTTTTATTTTTTTTATCTTTGGACAACTTCCACGAAATTGGTTGGGATATCCTGTGTGGGCAGGTACCGCTGAATGTTTGTGAGTGGTTCAAGGATTACCAACCAGTTTCAACAGAAAAACAAGAAATTGAGCATGCTTATGAGTGAGTTTTTTCTTGTGACATCTCAGTCCTGGAGAAACACTGTGTATGTTTTTTTGATGCTCCAAACTAATCAGGTTTGTGAAGAAGAAATTCGAGGAGTTACATATTCAGAGCGCTACCCCTGACTGTTCTGACCGAGTCTTGAAGATCTATAGGACCACTGCCCTTGATCAGAATCTTGTAAAGGAAACATTTAAACTGGTAGACCAAACTTTGAGGAGGAAAAATTCTTTTGAAACGGGTTTATTATGATACCAATCCAATGAAACTTTATAGCAAAGAAACATCATTTATTGTAGGCTTGCTCAAGATTGGACCTTACTCATTAGGCACCAGTGTTTGTATCTACTCTATTGATATTGTTAGCTTGAAATCCGCCCAGGAAATCTTTTCTGACGATGTATCAAGTATCTGAAGACAATATAACTTTCACCCAATGTTTTATGTAATTCTTGTGAATGATTTGAAAAAATATATATATTTAATCTTAATTATTTTGCAGCATATGTTCGTTGGATTATGTACTCACTAGATCTGGTTTTATACATGTTATGGAACGATGTAACGAGTATCTGTACTCATCTTATATTAAGCATCAATGACGTGTCATGTATATTTATTGGAGAATTTTAAACTTAATTCAAATATTGAGGTCCAATGTTTGTTTATCCATAAATGAATTTATATGACACGTCATCAGTGTTTAATACAAGATGAGCGTTGATACTTGATATTAGTAGATTATTCATGTTATTGGATTTTTCTTGTTTTCAAGAATCCCTTGTTTAAAATGAGTGAGAACATGGACTTTTTTTAATGTTGACTAAGCCACTACATGCCTAAACCGACCAAAATCTCAATATCCCGTGTTCTGCTGGTGACCTGTTACATCATAATAATTTTGAGCCTATTGAAGCCAGCCAAACTTCATGTTTTGGTACTTTTCTTTGTTACCAAATAACACATGAAATGAATGTTGACAAACAATTTGGAAGAGACCTGTCAACTCATTCACACACACAAACGCGCTTTAGAATATGAAATCCAAGATAATATAATAATTTTGCAGTGTTGGAATTCATTTATTTATGAAATCTAGTTATAGGCCAATATTTTTCAAAATTGATATAAAACTATAACATCGATTATCTCTGGTTCTGTGTTGTCTTGTTTCATTTCGTCCTATATTTATTTAAACAATATATAAAGCTTATCCAAGGGATTAAGATTTAATCCACTTTTAGATTGCTTTTCCAGCAACTATTTGTTGATCCTTAGTTGTTTATGAATTTGTAACTATTTTCATGCAAGTTTTGGTTTGTAATGCAAATTGAGTTATTGGTTCACGTGCAATAAGAAAGTTATTTTAATTTTATATGTATTTGCTTTAGTGCTCATCGCTTTTGATTTGACGTGACAATATTGATTATATTGTTTTTCCAATAAATCATGCCCGTAGTTCGTGTATGAACGTGGTTACCGCAATTTTAAATGTTGAGATACAAATGTAACAAATGATAGATCAGATATGAACACAATACTTATGAAAATTTGGGGGTCGTAATTGAATTTACTCCAAATAAAATAATAGGAACATTCGTCAAGTTGACGTAGATTTTACACAACTGAGTCCATTTTGATTAAATTGAGGTCCATTATTAACTCTAGGTAAAATTTGAGCGAGTTGGAATTTGAATTGCTTGAAAGATTTGAGTTTAATCAAATGAGATCTTTCAAATAAAAAATTTGAAAATAAGATTATGTGCCTCTTTGATAAAGTTCTTTTGAGATTATAAGTTGGACTTCGATTGTAATACACGGGTCATTGAATCTATAACTTTTATTTACTTTTAAATAGATATTCATGAGATTGACTCATTTATAATCTCATGGAAAAAGGTATATATTTCTTCAGTTTAGCCGATTTTAGAAAAAAATATTCTTTTTATAAAATTGGGCCCCATAGGGTGGCCATGGGAATTGGGGTGGGGGTTAAGGGGGGGCTATCGTGGTCATGAGGTTTGTTATATAAGTACAGCCTAGAGAATGAATGTAAATGCAAAAGTAGGGCAGAAACAGGTGAGGAAGGAATCAAACTGAAATTCTGAACCGGACGGTGGTCAGAGATTTTCTCCTTTTCTCATCTTTTTTCGACAGTTCCTACTAACAAAAACAATATAATATATATGTAAACAAAAAGCAATTGTTGCCCGAAACAGTTAAAAAAATAATAATAATAAAAAAAGGAAAAGAAAAGGAAAGAAGGGTCGAGGGGTGACTTTTCAGAAAAACTTTGTGGCAAAAATTCTTGGCGGCTTCAAATTTCTCGGCAAGAACCAAATAAAGCATATTCTTCCTTCTTCTTTTTTATCACCTTTTCAACTCAAAATCAAAAACCCAGATCAATTCTTGAATGCATTTTCCAATCTTCGTCAAAGGCATCTGAGAGCCCATTTAATCTGCCATTTAAGCATTTCCTTCGCTTAATTTTCAGGTTCGTTCTATTTTCTTTTGTTTCTGTCCGTAAATTGGTATATATTGCCGGCAATTTTTGTTTATTTAGGCCTGAATAATAATTACATTGTATTCATGCTATTTATATTGTTTCAAGATTTTGATTTCTTAGAAATTAATTTACTTTGGCTATGAATGAATGCCTGCCATTTTGGATTCTTTCAAGATTAAGTCTTTACGCTAGTTTCTATGTATGTATCAATAGTATTTTGCTCTTTTCAATTGGATTTTGATGTTTTGAAGTAATCCTTGTTGGAAAATGTAAATTTTCCACACAAATTCCTCATTTTTATAATCTCAAGGTACTTCGAAATTTTGCATTTTTAAATCTCCTTCCTGGAGCACTTGCTCAAAAATATGTAACTTGAAGTTTCTGGATGTTGATTGCATTGATCTTTTCTCTGGGCAATTTGAATTGTCCTGTGCCCACTTTTGATCTTGTAATTTGAATGAGATGATTTAATGAATTTTTCATTGTGAGTTGTTTTTCATTTTATCTTGAGAACCATGTTTGGTATATCTGAAATACACAATTTGTCATTGATTTATATGGAGATACTGAATATTACTTCATTCTTATAACTTATACAGGTATTTAAATATTCTCTGGATCGACCTAAACAATAAAGAGTAGAACTTGTTAGAAGTCTTTTTATTTGGGACAATAATCAGAGCAATTCAATATGGGGAACAATTGGTTGTTTTTCATTGAATCAGATGGTGGTTTTGGTAGTTTTTCGATGGATCCACTTGTGCCACATGTGTCAGGGCATTGGCTCTTACATGTATCTTCATTTGTAGACAATTCAAGATATTTTTATGTCCCTGGTAGTTTGGCGCTTCAAGAAGCTTTCAATTGCGTATCAAAATTTGCTGGTGCCCTACTGTTATGGTTTGCTGGTGGTTCGAATTCCCATATCAACAACAAAATAACTGGTGATCATATTGGTCCTAGTTCAAGCTGTAAAGCTTCAAGACAAGTAAAGCACGTTTATTCTAATAAGTGTGACTTCTCGGGGATTTTCTGGAAGTCAGGATATAAAGGTATATCTGCTGTCCCAGCAGCATTTGGTAGGATATCAAGGTTCACTCTGAAGCAACTGATTAAAGAAGCCGAACATCTTCAATCACTTCCAGTGCTTTCATTAGCTTCTGCACTGGTACCACCGATAACTAATGTGTAAGCTCAGTCCTATTCTTTGAACAAAGATTTAGCAATCTTAATAAATTTTATCGTAATCACTCCAAATAAGCTGATTTCCATACATATGCGGATGTCATTGCACCTTTTTCTTTTGATTTTCACATTTGAGTTTTTATCTAAAAGATTCTTTGTTGTTCAATGTTCATTAGCTCTTCAAATGGACTAGCTATTCCACTGGAGAATGCTTCTGTAGAAACACAAAGATGCATGGATGATAGAAGGCCCTGCGAGGTTGAAACAGGCTGTGGACCGTGTGGTGAAATTTATCTCCAGAATTTAGCTTGGTCTAGGAATGCAGTTGAGCCTAGAACTGGCATTCAGTTCCCTACTATGTTGGACAACATAATAACTGGAGAAAACACCAGTTTTACTCCAGAGGTAAGCACGTGAGATTTTTTCATTAATGTAAAATCCAACACTTCCTACATCTCATTGATCTCTATCGTTTATCATTCCAATATTGGGCACTTGTTTGATGAAAAGCATCCATGCTCACTGATCTACCGTAGCTGAGGTGATGCCATGCATTACTTCTGACACAGTCTACCAATATTTCATGGAGGAACTTAAAATATTTCTCACTGTATTTCTCAGTGAGTTTCTAAATGTTTTTCTTGCTACTATTATCCACATCTCTTGTCAAGCAGAATTATTCAAAGCTTCGCCTTTATCATCTTTTATTTGTAACCTGAATTTGCCTCATTGTATGTCACACTTGTGGTGTATGGTGACACACTTGTGGTGTATGATGAACAGGAAAATAGATACAAACCTCTGGAATAAGTATAATTGCTGACATTCCATGTAATTTATAATTCTCTTGTACTTTTCTACTTTCTTCATTTTTTCCTGTCAAAATTTTGCATGATGTGCCTTTTTTATATAATGTGAGATATGACATATATTGATAAGTTGAATATGCCAAGCATTAAAATGACATTCAAGATACTATACTTGTATTATGCTTTCTTCATGGGTGAACTTCTTTCCTTTTTGGATAAATAAGGAAAAAGAAACTTTTATTGCTAACTGTTAAACTTTGTTATTAGGTAATTTTGATAAATCCTTACATGACTCCATGTATATCTTCAATTGCATCATCTTACATTATGCTTTCCTGGAATTTAGTCAGGTTTCTCTTTTATTGATGAATGTTTGTTGACAATTTCTGACTAATTTTTCAGGTCCTTGTTGGAACTGGATCTAGGACTATGACGATAATCAGAATCAAATCTCTGAAACTCTATGCATTTGGTTTTTGTGAGTTTTTTGCTTCACTTCATACACTTGGCATATTAAATTTACTTTCGAAACGATCTTCAGATACTTAACTCATTTTACATTGTTCATAGATGTTCATCCTTCTGATGTCTGTGAGAAATTGGGCCCGAAGTATGCCTGCATTCCGGAATATGAGTTGAATAAACGCCAAGATTTTTATCAGGATCTTCTAAGGTTTGTACAACATTTGTGAATAATCATATGATTGATAATGTTGATTGATATATAGATGTGATATTATGAGTCCATTCAGGGCCTTTTTTGTAAGCAATATTGGATAGGACGGGATGGTCTTACCAGAGAACATGAAGCTAAATTTTGTAAATTATTATGTATCCCATTCCTGTCTAATACTACACAACAAATATATAAATCAATGTTTAGATAAACACCGTATGCAGCTTCATCATCTAGTGTATTGTAGTGATTTGAAGAAATTAAACTTTGTTTAGATTTAAAGAATATTCTAGCTTTTTTCATTTATTTTACGGTCAAGTCAACTCAAGTTTTGATGTTGTACATTATCTCCTCGTCATTAGCATCTCAAACTTCGTTTGGTGTTTGTGTGCATATTCTATGTTTCAGATCCTTAGTTTGCATCGAATATTTGATATTAATTTTATTGTTTGATCAAAGTCTAGAGTGTGATGGATTCTTTGTAAAATGAATTGAATTTCTAGTAAGATTTTAAATATTTCATTGTGTAAATTTTTGCTCATGCTGCAGAGAGGATATTAACATGACTGTTAGGCTCGTGGTTAGCTGCAACGGAATCAAAATTAATACTGTAAGAGAGTAAGTTAAATTTCTTCTAGCATAATGCTCATTCATTGTATGAATTGTTATGGGCTAGCTATATCTCAACTCATATCTGTAAATGTTTCATGGAGTAAATTTGCTACAACTTCAATTCTCACTTGTCCCCTCCACAACACGTGCGGAATGAGCTAGTGCGATTAAGTTTGTTGGCATTATGTGCTACTAGCCTGATAAATATAACTTTCTATGAAATCTCAAGTCGCAGAGTATTCAGTTAAAATCCACGCAAATTCTGTAATTATTGAATCAAGCAAGATGCAAGATTTATTTAAAACACTAGTGAATTTTGACGAGAAGTTACCTATGTTTCTGATTCAATTTGTGATTTGTCTCTGTTGCAGTGCTTTTGAGAAGTCTCTTCGAGCCCGATTAATGAGAGTGAGCCATTTTGAATTTTGCCCGATCCTTGAAGTATTCCAAATTTCTTGTTACTGACAATTTGCTCTTTTTAGACAAATCCTGATGCTGACCATCACTGCTTGCACACATTTGGTTCCATATTCTCGCAAGATATTCCCTTACACGAGGTATAAATCATTTATCCTCACATTTTTCATATATATTTGTTTATGGTATTGCAAACTGCATTACTGACTTAAATAAAAAATCTTCAGGGAACGACAATCAATTTCCATCGTACAGCTGACGGAAAACTAATTACTGAAGGTAAGTGGACACTAAAGGGAAAATAACCAAAATAGAAATGTGTGATCTTACGTGTTTAAAAGGAAAAATAACTAAAATACATTGGAACTGATATATGACTCTGACAAAGAACATTTATTTCTGCAGTTGGAGGAAATCAACTCGGAGCCGTCCAGAGCAAGGATTTATGCAGTAAGTAAATTATTTTTCTTGAACGACATTTGACACCTTTCTAGACTCATATCTTCACTGTATGACATGGATCAATTTTTGAGGCATTTAAATAGAGAAGCAAAAAGAAAAGAATCGTAGTTATAACTTATTTTTGTATATATACCCAGGGGCTTTCTTTGACATGTACATTGGTGATGTTCCTGTGTGTGAACAAACGAAAGAAGAGATAGGCAAAAATGTGGCGAGTATCGTTAGTACATGCTAAGTCAATTCTCTCAAGGGCGGTAGATAATTGGTTGCATACTTGCAGTTCAGTACCCGAATGTGATGCTTTTAGCTTAGTTGTGAGCAGAAAAATGAAAAACGGACTAGTCAGTGTATAAGTATACACTGAATCTTTTCATTCAGTGAGTTTGTTATACATGATAGGAATTTTGATTTCCACATAATTCTTTCTAGCTTTGTCAGGAGATTCAGTCATTTACTATCTGAGGATGTCGACTGTTTGTAGATTTTACTTTTGGTGATTTTGTTTGTTGAAAGATAATAATTTTGACTCCTCCATTTGTATAGAAAAAGAAAATATTATGGTTACTCCTGCACTGGCATCAATCACATTTTTTTATCAATGGAGTTGAAGTATCATTCCTTTCTTGGTTGATCTCAACCTGATGTTCGTTCTTTCATGGTGTTAGAAATTCTAGTCCTTGTAAACCCCCCCCCCCCCCCCCCCCCCCCCCCCCCCTTAAACTTTGTAAATAGAAACTGTCATCATGTGGTACAGGACTGACCGTCAAAGTGGTTAGAGACTTGACTTTTCATAATGTGTATTGAGACAACCTTCTTGGTTAGGCTCATGCTCTATAGAGCTTTGATTTTCGAGTAGACAACTTTCTGAATTCTAGTGGCGTTTGTAGCGGCGGTAGTATCACTGGACCTGCCAGCTCAACAAGTCGCTCTTGCGACCTCAACAAATTGAATGATGGATTTGTGCCACCATGAACCCATAGATTAATATCAAGTTCAGATCTCATTGTCACCTATTTATAATATTTAAAATTGTTCATGTGTACAAGGGGACTTGTTGGATGACATATCATGCTAACTACATTTTACCATTAACAGATGAAAATCTAGATGAGCGAATTTAATTATATGCGAAGAAACACAATTATCATTTGATTAATCATGATGTTTTGGTCGAGCAAAAAAATTTAGGAGCATTTTTAAAAATGTTCAATTTTAAGGGTATGAATTGAAAAGTGTCTACTCATTTGAATTTAGTGTCAACTTGTTTATTATGCCCTTAATGAAAAGCTACATTTTAAAATGGTATTCTCGACATTTAAAATTTCGCTCTCGACATTTGATTTTTTTATCAATTTGTCACAAATTTTGAGAAGTGACTTTCATGAGAAGTTACATTAAAATAATGTTTCTTGACATTTCATATGTCATTCTCGACATTTGAACACCATTTCATTTGTCTAGAATGACATTTCATTTTGAACATGACATTTCTCTACTTTTAAAAACGTCATTCTTGATATTTCTGAATCAATGAAAAACATAGCATTTTTGACATGTATACTTTTTGAAATAAATATGGCAGATTATGTGTCAAAATTTTATTGGCCAATGACAATATTGCAAAAATGCCCATTTTTTTTTTTTTGTCTTAGTGTGGAATTATAAATTGTTAATAATGGTATTTTGGTCTAAATTCTTCAAAATTAGACATTTTTGCAATGGTGGACATTTTTGCAAATGACTAGGTAAAAATGGACATTTTGTGAAATTTCCTCAAAAATTTATTATAGCTTAGTTTGTTATTTTACAAATTAGTTATGTTCTAAAAGTTCGTCTTTTCTCTCAATCGTTATATCTGTTACTATTTTTATTTATTTATTCTATTTTATATTTTCAAGGGATCAAAAAATTTACTTGAAAACTCTGACCTATGAATGTATGTTGCAGTCTAGTAGCCTTTGCAGAGGTTCCATATTGATTTTCTGGACACAATGCATTTAGTGGCGTTTACTGCATTGACCGAGTTTCATAATGTTCTTATTCCATCAATGCCCAAAGGATACATTTAATTTTACGTTTGTTGAATTTCAAGATGCATAATTTTTTTCAAGTTAGTACTCCGCAATACAGTCCTCCTGCCGTGGTGAGGACAGTTCAATGGGTGCCATAACCTTTACCAGAATGGGTGCCTCACGACAAAAAATAGACTTTTTTCAAAAGTCACCAATCTATAAAGATCTCAGATTCTAAAAAGAAATAGAAGAAGTTGCTTGACCTTTTCCACGTTACTTGTGAGCCTAGAATGAAGAGAAGAAACTCACGGAAAGTTTCATCTCAACTTAAATAGCAAAGTAAGCAAAAAATGGGGCGCCATTAGGGAGCTTGAGTTGCAGCATCAAGGTTCAACCCAAATTGAACAAGGGTTGCCACTTCTCGATATTGTGCCAACAACTAACTAGCCATGTTTATACAACCAAAATTGTATGTACATTATGGTGTCCATAAGAATGTTCATAATAAACAAGTGACATAACATCATTGGAGAGTTAAAAAACAGGTTTTTCAACCCTTCAATCATGAAATTTTACATGTATATTATGAACACCCTTTTGAATACTATGATGTACATGTAGAATTATCTATGACAAAAATAAATTCATCAGACCTCAAAAGGTATTTTAACAAGGAAGGAATATATCCCCTGCAGGGCTGCAATTTATGGCCATTTATTGTGGTAATTGCTAACCTGCAGTAGTCCCTATCTTTTGCTGTTTACTGATGCCTTAAAATAAATTTTCTGGTTGCATCAAAAGGGAAAAAGTGAACCTCGAGGGAAAATTTATGTACTAGCATATATGGCTAAACATTTTTACATTGGCCTTTTCCTTTCTCAGGTTTGACTGGCCATATTTTAGGAAATTCCGCTTAATCACATCACTTGAGGTTAATGTACGACCTACGCGACATAAAATTCTGAGGCACTGCAAACCATGTCAAAATTTGTGGCTCTTTTTTTGCAAGATTTTGTGGCTCTAAAAGGAGATTTTTGTTTCACTTTAATACTGCAGAAGTTAAAATCTTGATCAGTTTATTCAATGTGTCTTTCAGCTCCTTACAAATTCAATTACCAAGTAACAAAAGGTTAAACTAGTTATCTCATATTATCCCGTTGAGGAGAAAATCTTTTTATCACTCAATTAGATGGCGTCTCCTTTCTTGTTCATTTTCTTCACTGGTATGATGTCAAGTGCATCTTGTATGTTTCCCTATCATATTTACTTACTATGGACTTAATGAGCTTGGGTGGACTAAGGTAAAATTTTTGTTTAAACTTTCAAACTGCTACTGTCTTACCGTGGACCTTTCTCTTTTCAGGTTGTCTATTGATATTGAGTATTTTTTTAAATCATTTTTGTAACCTTCTACTACCCTTTATCTTTCCTTTTTGTCACCCTTTATAACTCTTGTTGCTATAATTAAATTGTTGTGCACTTGATTAGTATTCTTATTCTTGTTTAGGAAGATGTTCTTACTGCCCGGGTTCGGACAACTGGTGTTACACAAATCCAGTTCAGGTGATATCCAACTGCTGCAAATGTTTTTTTATTTTCACCACCGACATAAGCACTATTCTGTATTTGAATTATTCCTGTGGCTTAACAGACACCCTTCCCCAAAGCATTTATTGTCATACCATGGTGATATAACAGCAAGATGAAGTGAACTTGACATCTTGCTCATGGGCAAACCAATCATTGTTGTAAAATACCAGATTACGGCCGCCCTCCATCGCCTATGGCATGTCATTCGCCAATATTTCTTCATTTTCAGGAATAGAAGCAATCTGTTTTCCACTGCTACATCTGCATCATTAATAATACTAGAAATTGATAATAGATTCCGTAAATTGATCCCAGGAGTCATACAAAATATTCTTTCATCATTGAAATGTTTACAGCCCAGTTGGAGAGAACCAAAAAGGTGAAGCATATCGACTTTTTGATGTCGGAGGTCAGAGAAATGAGAGAAGAAAGTGGATTCATCTATTCGAGGGTGTTACTGCTGTGATATTTTGTGCAGCTATAAGCGAGTAAGACTGATGTTGCCTTCGCTTAATAGCTAGTTATTTTATACTCCAAGTTATGGTCATATTATCTGCAACTCTGCTGTTCGTAACTTCCAAGACCTCTATGCTTTGAATGAAACAGTACATGAATGGAGATTTTATTTAAGCTTTGTTTCTTCAAGTTGATTGTGTCGTAATTACCACATGGTATCATCACTGCGTTTCAGGTATGATCAAACACTTTTCGAGGATGATAACAAAAATCGACTGATGGAGACGAAGGAACTTTTCGAATGGGTCCTGAAGCAACCATGCTTCAAGGTTTTATTCATATCTATTCTTTAACGTCCATCTTATGTTAATTCAGTTTCTTGGTGTGTATGTTTGACATGAGCGAATGATTTGTGCCTCGTCCTTTTTGCAGAAAACTTCTTTCATACTATTTCTCAACAAATTTGATTTATTTGAGAAGAAGGTTCTCAAAGTAAGGTTACAGTTATTTTTTATTTTTTATTTTTTTTTATCTTTGGACAACTTCCACGAAATTGGTTGGGATATCCTGTGTGGGCAGGTACCGCTGAATGTTTGTGAGTGGTTCAAGGATTACCAACCAGTTTCAACAGAAAAACAAGAAATTGAGCATGCTTATGAGTGAGTTTTTTCTTGTGACATCTCAGTCCTGGAGAAACACTGTGTATGTTTTTTTGATGCTCCAAACTAATCAGGTTTGTGAAGAAGAAATTCGAGGAGTTACATATTCAGAGCGCTACCCCTGACTGTTCTGACCGAGTCTTGAAGATCTATAGGACCACTGCCCTTGATCAGAATCTTGTAAAGGAAACATTTAAACTGGTAGACCAAACTTTGAGGAGGAAAAATTGTTTTGAAACGGGTTTATTATGATACCAATCCAATGAAACTTTATAGCAAAGAAACATCATTTATTGTAGGCTTGCTCAAGATTGGACCTTACTCATTAGGCACCAGTGTTTGTATCTACTCTATTGATATTGTTAGCTTGAAATCCGCCCAGGAAATCTTTTCTGACGATGTATCAAGTATCTGAAGACAATATAACTTTCACCCAATGTTTTATGTAATTCTTGTGAATGATTTGAAAAAATATATATATTTAATCTTAATTATTTTGCAGCATATGTTCATTGGATTATGTACTCACTAGATCTGGTTTTATACATGTTATGGAACGATTTAACGAGTATCTATGCTCATCTTATATTAAGCATCAATGACGTGTCATATATATTTATTGGAGAATTTTAAACTTAATTCAAATATTGAGATCCAATATTTGTTTATCTATAAATGGATTTATATGACACGTCATCAGTATTTAATATAAGATGAGCATTGATATTAGTAAATTATTCATGTTATTGGATTTTTCTGGTCTTCGAGAATCCGTTGTTTAAAATGAGGGAGAACATGGACTTTTTTTAATGTTGACTAAGCCACTACATGCCTAAACCGACCAAAATCTCAATATCCCGTGTTCTGCTGGTGACCTGTTACATCATAATAATTTTGAGCCTATTGAAGCCAGCCAAACTTCATATTTTGGTACTTTTCTTTGTTACCAAATAACACATGAAATGAACGTTGACAAACAATTTGGAAGAGACCTGTCAACTCATTCACACACACAAACGCGCTTTAGACTATGAAATCCAACATAATATAATAATTTTGCAGTGCTGGAATTCATTTATTTAAGAAATCTAGTTATAGGCCAATATTTTTCAAAATTGATATAAAACTATAACATCGATTATCTCTGGTTCTGTGTTGTCTTGTTTCATCTCGTCCTATATTTATTTAAACTATATATAAAGCTTATCCAAGCGATTAAGATTTAATCCACTTTTAGATTGCTTTTCCAGCAACTATTTGTTGATCCTTTGTTGTTTATGAATTTGTAACTATTTTCATGCAAGTTTTGGTTTGTAATGCAAATTGAGTTATTGGTTCACGTGCAATAAGAAAGTTATTTTAATTTCATATGTATTTGCTTTAGTGGTCATCGCTTTTGATTTGATGTGACAATATCGATTATATTGCTTTTCCAATAAATCATGCCCATATTTCGTGTATGAACGTGGTTACCGCAATTTTAAAGGTTGAGATACAAATGTAACAAATGATAGATCAGATATGAACACAATACTTATGAAAATTAGGGGTCGTAGTTGAATTTACTCCAAATAAAATAATGGGAACCTTTGTCAAGTTGACGTTGATTTTACACAACTGAGTCCATTTTGATTAAATTGAGGTCCATTATTAACTCTAGGTAAAATTTGAGCGAGTTGGAATTTGAATTGCTTGAAAGATTTGAGTTTAATCAAATGAGATCTTTCAAATAAAAAGTTTGAAAATAAGATTATGTGCCTATTTGATAAAGTTTTTTTAAGATTATAAGTTGGACTTCAGTTTTAATACACAGGTCATTGAATCCATAACTTTTAAATAGATATTCATGAGATTGACTCATTTATAATCTCATCGAAAAAGGTATATATTTCTTCAGTTTAGCCGATTTTAGAAAAAATATTCTTTTTTAAAAATTGGGTCCCATAGGAATATAGGGTGGCCACGGGAATTGGAGTGGGGGTTAAGGGTGGGGCTATCGGGGTGCCTAGAGAATGAATGTAAATGCAAAAGTAGGGCAGAAACAGGTGAGGAAGGAATCAAACTGAAATTCTGAACCGGACCAAAATTTCCCGGTGAGGGGACCCTAAAAGACAATCAAAATTTTTTTCTTCTTCTTCTTTTCTGTTTTATTATTTTTTTGGTGGGTGGTCAGAGATTTCCTCCCTTTCCCACCTTTTTTCGACAGTTCCTACAAACAAAAACAATCTAATATATATGTAAACAAAAAGCAATTGTTGCCCGAAACAGTTAAAAAAATAATATAAAAAATAAATAAATAAGAAAAGAAGAATCGAGGGGTGACTTTTCAGAAAAACTCTTTGTGGGAAAAATTCTTGGCGGCTTCAAATTTCTCGGCAAGAACCAAATAAAGCATATTCTTCCTTCTTCTTTTTTTATCACCTTTTCAACTCAAAATAAAAAACCCAGATCAATTCTTGAATGCATTTTCTAATCTTCGTCAAAGGCATCTGAGAGCCCATTTAATCTGCCATTTAAGCATTTCCTTCTCTTAATTTTCAGGTTCGTTCTATTTTCTTTTGTTTCTGTCCGTAAATTGGTATATATTGCAGGCAATTTTTGTTTATTTAGGCCTGAATAATAATTACATTGTATTCATGCTATTTCTATTGTTTCAAGATTTTGATTTCTTAGAAATTAATTTACTTTGGCTATGAATGAATGCCTGCCATTTTGGATTCTTTCAAGATTAAGTGTTTACGCTAGTTTCTATGTATGTATCAATATTACTTTGCTATTTTCAATTGGATTTTGATGTTTTGAAGTAATTCTTGTTGGAAAATGTAAATTTTCCACACAAATTCCTCATTTTTATAATCTCAAGGTACTTCGAAATTTTGCTTTCTTAAATCTCCTTCCTGGAGCACTTGCATAAAAATATGTAACTTGAAGTTTCTGGATGTTGATTGCATTGATCTTTTCTCTGGGCAATTTGAATTGTCCTGTGCCCACTTTTGATCTTGTAATTTGAATGAGATGATTTAATGAAGTTTTCATTGTGAGTTGTTTTTCATTTTATCTTGAGAACCATGTTTGGTATATCTGAAATACACAATTTGTCATTGATTTATATGGAGATACTGAATATTACTTCATTTTTATAACTTATACAGGTATTTAAATATTCTCTGGATCGACCTAAACAATAAAGAGTAGAACTTGTTAGAAGTCTTTTTATTTGGGACAATAATCAGAGCAATTCAATATGGGGAACAATTGGTTGTTTTTCATTGAATCAGATGGTGGTTTTGGTAGTTTTTCGATGGATCCACTTGTGCCACATGTGTCAGGGCATTGGCTCTTACATGTATCTTCATTTGTAGACAATTCAAGATATTTTTATGTCCCTGGTAGTTTGGCGCTTCAAGAAGCTTTCAATTGCGTATCAAAATTTGCTGGTGCCCTACTGTTATGGTTTGCTGGTGGTTCGAATTCCCATATCAACAACAAAATAACTGGTGATCATATTGGTCCTAGTTCAAGCTGTAAAGCTTCAAGACAAGTAAAGCACGTTTATTCTAATAAGTGTGACTTCTCGGGGATTTTCTGGAAGTCAGGATATAAAGGTATATCTGCTGTCCCAGCAGCATTTGGTAGGATATCAAGGTTCACTCTGAAGCAACTGATTAAAGAAGCCGAACGTCTTCAATCACTTCCAGTGCTTTCATTAGCTTCTGCACTGGTACCACCGATAACTAATGTGTAAGCTCAGTCCTATTCTTTGAACAAAGATTTAGCAATCTTAATAAATTTTATCATAATCACTCCAAATAAGTTGATTTCCATACATATGCGGATGTCATTGCACCTTTTTCTTTTGATTTTCACATTTGAGTTTTTATCTAAAAGATTCTTCGTTGTTCAATGTTCATTAGCTCTTCAAATGGACTAGCTATTCCACTGGAGAATGCTTCTGTAGAAACACAAAGATGCATGGATGATAGAAGGCCCTGCGAGGTTGAAACAGGCTGTGGACCGTGTGGTGAAATTTATCTCCAGAATTTAGCTTGGTCTAGGAATGCAGTTGAGCCTAGAACTGGCATTCAGTTCCCTACTATGTTGGACAACATAATAACTGGAGAAAACACCAGTTTTACTCCAGAGGTAAGCACGTGAGATTTTTTCATTAATGTAAAATCCAACACTTTCCTACATCTCATTGATCTCTATCGTTTATCATTCCAATATTGGGCACTTGTTTGATGAAAAGCATCCATGCACACTGATCTACCATAGCTGAGGTGATGCCATGCATTACTTCTGACACAGTGTACCAATATTTCATGGAGGAACTTAAAATATTTCTCACTGTATTTCTCAGTGAGTTTCTAAATGTTTTTCTTGCTACTATTATCCACATCTCTTGTCAAGCAGAACTATTCAAAGCTTCGCCTTTATCATCTTTTATTTGTAACCTGAATTTGCCTCATTGTATGTCACGCTTGTGGTGTATGATGACACACTTGTGGTGTATGATGAACAGGAAAATAGATACAAACCTCTGGAATAAGTATAATTGCTGACATTCCATGTAATTCATAATTGTCTTGTACTTTTCTACTTTCTTCATTTTTTCCTGTCAAAATTTTGCATGATGTGCCTTTTTTATATAATGTGAGATATGACATATATCGATAAGTCGAATATGCCAAGCATTAAAATGACATTCAAGATAGTATACTTGTATTATGCTTTCTTCATGGGTGAACTTCTTTCCTTTTTGGATAAATAAGGAAAAAGAAACTTTTATTGCTAACTGTTAAACCTTGTTATTAGGTAATTTTGATAAATCCTTACATGACTCCATGTATATCTTCAATTGCATCATCTTACATTATGCTTTCCTGGAATTTAGTCAGGTTTCTCTTTTATTGATGAATGTTTGTTGACAATTTCTGACTAATTTTTCAGGTCCTTGTTGGAACTGGATCTAGGACTATGACGATAATCAGAATCAAATCTCTGAAACTCTATGCATTTGGTTTTTGTGAGTTTTTTGCTTCACTTCATACACTTGGCATATTAAATTTACTTTCGAAACGATCTTCAGATACTTAACTCATTTTACATTGTTCATAGATGTTCATCCTTCTGATGTCTGTGAGAAATTGGGCCCGAAGTATGCCTGCATTCCGGAATATGAGTTGAATAAACGCCAAGATTTTTATCAGGATCTTCTAAGGTTTGTACAACATTTGTGAATAATCATATGATTGATAATGTTGATTGATCTATAGATGTGATATTATGAGTCCATTCAGGGCCTTTTTTGTAAGCAATATTGGATAGGACGGGATGGTCTTACCGGAGAACATGAAGCTAAATTTTGTAAATTATTATGTATCCCATTCCTGTCTAATACTACACAATAAATATATAAATCAATGTTTAGATAAACACCGTATGCAGCTTCATCATCTAGTGTATTGCAGTGATTTGAAGAAATTAAACTTTGTTTAGATTTAAAGAATATCCTAGCTTTTTTCGTTTATTTTACGGTCAAGTCAACTCAAGTTTTGATGTTGTACATTATCTCCTCGTCATTAGCATCTCAAACTTCGTTTGGTGTTTGTGTGCATATTCTATGTTTCAGATCCTTAGTTTGCATCGAATATTTGATATTAATTTTATTGTTTGATCAAAGTCTAGAGTGTGATGGATTCTTTGTAAAATGAATTGAATTTCTAGTAAGATTTTAAATATTTCATTGTGTAAATTTTTGCTCATGCTGCAGAGAGGATATTAACATGACTGTTAGGCTCGTGGTTAGCTGCAACGGAATCAAAATTAATACTGTGAGAGAGTAAGTTAAATTTCTTCTAGCATAATGCTCATTCGAAATATTATCATTGTATGAATTGTTATGGGCTAGCTATATCTCAACTCATATCTGTAAATGTTTCATGGAGTAAATTTGCTACAACTTCAATTCTCACTTATGCCCCCTCCACAACACGTGCGGAATGAGCTAGTGCGATTAAGTTTGTTGGCATTATGTGCTACTAGCCTGCTAAATATAACTTTCTATGAAGTCTCAAGTCACAGAGTATTCAGTTAAAATCCACGCAAATTCTGTAATTAATTATTGAAGCAAGCAAGATGCAAGATTTATTTAAAACACTAGTGAATTTTGACGAGAAGTTACCTATGTTTCTGATTCAATTTGTGATTTGTCTCTGTTGCAGTGCTTTTGAGAAGTCTCTTCGAGCCCGATTAATGAGAGTGAGCCATTTTGAATTTTGCCCGATCCTTGAAGTATTCCAAATTTCTTGATACTGACAATTTGCTCTTTTTAGACAAATCCTGATGCTGACCATCACTGCTTGCAAACATTTGGTTCCATATTCTCGCAAGATATTCCCTTACACGTGGTATAAATCATTTATCCTCACATTTTTCATATATATTTGTTTATGGTATTGCAAACTGCATTACTGACTTGAATAAAAAATCTTCAGGGAACGACAATCAATTTCCATCGTACAGCTGACGGAAAACTAATTACTGAAGGTATGTGGTACACTAAAGGGAAAATAACCAAAATAGAAATGTGTGATCTTATGTGTTTAATAGGAAAAATAACTAAAATACATTGGAACTGTTATATGACTGACAAAGAACATTTATTTCTGCAGTTGGAGGAAATCAACTCGGAGCCGTCCAGAGCAAGGATTTATGCAGTAAGTGAATTATTTTTCTTGAACGACATTTGACACCTTTCTAGACTCATATCTTCACTGTATGACATGGATCAATTTTTGAGGCATATCTTAAATAGAGAAGCAAAAAGAAAAGAATCGTAGTTATAACTTATTTTTGTATATATACCCAGGGGCTTTCTTTGACATGTACATTGGTGATGTTCCTGTGTGTGAACAAACGAAAGAAGAGATAGGCAAAAATGTGGCGAGTATCGTTAGTACATGCTAAGTCAATTCTCTCAAGGGCGGTAGATAATTGGTTGCATACTTGCAGTTCAGTATCCGAATGTGATGCTTTTAGCTTAGTTGTGAGCAGAAAAATGAAAAACGGACAAGTCAGTGTACAAGTATACACTGAATCTTTTCATTTAGTTTGTTATACATGATAGGAAATTGATTTCCACATAATTCTTTCTAGCTTTGTCAGGAGATTCAGTCATTTACTATCTGAGGATGTCGACTGTTTGTAGATTTTACTTTTGGTGATTTTGTTTGTTGAAAGATGATTATTTTGACTCCTCCATTTGTATAGAAAAAGAAAATATTATGGTTACTCCTGCACTGGCATCAATCACATTTTTTAACAATGGAGTTGAAGTATCATTCTTTTCTTGGTTGATCTCAACCTGATGTTCGTTCTTTCATGGAGTTAGAAATTCTAGTCCTTCAAAACCACCATCACACCCCCCCCCCCCCCCAAAAAAAAAAAAAAGAAAAAAAAAAGGGACTGTCGAGAGTGGCCTCTCTAGAAAAAACAATAAAGGGGTGTTTGATAGTTATTTTTATGTAAAAATGCATTTTATAATAGTAAATTGATGTGACATGTGTGGTTGAAAAATAAAGAAAAGTTTTTTATTTACGTGTAATATTATTTTAATAAATAATGTGTGGTTGAAAAGAAGAGAGAAAAATACATTTTGAAAAAAAGGCTACCAAACGAGCCTAACTTGAACTTCGAAAATGGATTGGTTAGGCTCATGCTTTATAGAGCTTTGATTTTTGAGTAGACAACTTTTTGAATTCTAGTGGCGTTTGTAGCGGCGGCAGTATCACTGGGCCTGCCAGCTCAACAAGTCGCTCTTGCGACCTCAACAAATTGAATGTTGGATTTGTGCCACCATGAACCCATAGATTAATATCAAGTTCAGATCTCACTGTCACCTATTTATAATATTGAAAATTGTTCATGTGTACAAGGGGACTTGTTGGATGACATATCATGCTAACTACATTTTACCATTAACAGATGAAATTCTAGATGAGCGAATTTAATTATATGCGAAGAAACACAATTATCATTTGATTAATCATGATGTTTTGGTCGAGCAAAAAAATTTAGGAGCATTTTTAAAAATGTTTAATTTTAAGAGTATGAATTGAAAAGTGTCTACTTATTTGAATTTAGTGCCAACTTCTTTCTTATGCCCTTAATGAAAAGCTACATTTTGAAATGGTATTCTCGACATTTAAAATTTCGCTCTCGACATTTAATTTTTTTTATCAATTTGTCACGAATTTGAGAAGTGACTTCCATGAGAAGTTACATTAAAATAATGTTTCTCGATCTTTCATATGTCACTCTCGACATTTGAACATCATTTCATTTGTCTAGAATGACATTTCATTTTGAACATGACATTTCTCTACTTTTAAAGATGTCATTCTCGATATTTCTGAATCAATGAAAAACATAGCATTTTTGACATGTATACTTTTTGAAATAAATATGGCAGGTTATGTGTCAAAATTTTATTGGCCAATGACAATATTGCAAAAATACCCATTTTTATTTTTTTATTTTTTTGTCTTAGTGTGGAATTATAAATTGTTAATAATGGTATTTTGGTGTAAATTCTTCAAAATTAGATATTTTTGCAATGGTGGACATTTTTGCAAATGACTAGGTAAAAATGGACATTTTGTTAAATTTCCTCAAAAATTTATTATAGCTTAGTTTGTTATTTTACAAATTAGTTATGTTCTAAAAGTTTGTCTTTTCTCTCAATCGTTATATCTGTTACTATTTTTATTTATTTATTCTATTTTATATTTTCAAGGGATCAAAAAATTTACTTGAAAACTCTGACCTATGAATGTATGTTGCAGTCTAGCAGCCTTTGCAGAGGTTCCATATTGATTTTCTGGACACAATGCATTTAGTGGCGTTTACTGCATTGACCGAGTTTCATAATGTTCTTATTCCATCAATGCCCAAAGGATACATTTAATTTTACGTTTGTTGAATTTCAAGATGCATAATTTTTTTCAAGTTAGTACTCCGCAATACAGTCCTCCTGCCGTGGTGAGAAGGACAGTTCAATGGGTGCCATAACCTTTACCAGAATGGGTGCTCACGACAAAAAATAGACTTTTTTCAAAAGTCACCAATCTATAAAGATCTCAGACTCTAAAAACAAATAGAAGAAGTTGCTTGACCTTTTCCACGTTACTTGTGAGCCTAGAATGAAGAGAAGAAACTCACGGAAAGTTTCATCTCAACTTAAATAGCAAAGTAAGCAAAAAATGGGGCGCCATTAGGGAGCTTGAGTTGCAGCATCAAGGTTCAACCCAAATTGAACAAGGGTTGCCACTTCTCGATATTGTGCCAACAACTAACTAGCCATGTTTATACAACCAAAATTGTATGTACATTATGGTGTCCATAAGAATGTTCATAATAAACAAGTGACATAACATCATTGGAGAGTTAAAAAACAGGTTTTTCAACCCTTCAATCATGAAATTTTACATGTATATTATGAACACCCTTTTGAATACTATGATGTACATGTAGAATTATCTATGACAAAAATAAATTCATCAGACCTCAAAAGGTATTTTAACAAGGAAGGAATATATCCCCTGCAGGGCTGCAATTTATGGCCATTTATTGTGGTAATTGCTAACCTGCAGTAGTCCCTATCTTTTGCTGTTTACTGATGCCTTAAAATAAATTTTCTGGTTGCATCAAAAGGGAAAAAGTGAACCTCGAGGGAAAATTTATGTACTAGCATATATGGCTAAACATTTTTACACACAGTGGTCCTTAACTACAAGTTCATACAGTATTCAAAATGTCAATACTTTTACTTCTTGATGCCAAAGAGCCAGTCTATTTTGCAGAGCTTAATAATTGGAAATACATCTTTGACAATATCTCAATTTTTTTCTTAGATTCTTTCAGCAAGCTAGAGATTCCTTTCTACTAAAGTTCAACCGCTGTTCTGGGATATAACTTCTCCGAACTTGAGGAAGAGTTGGGCATCCAAGGTGCTCATGGATGAACAATTAGCCAAGTGAGGAGTCTTTGGATTTGCATACTCATCCATGTAGCAAGGACCTGATGGTGATGGGGTTAGAGTTTTTAGGTTGGATGGTGGCACCATGGTCCCAAGTACTCGAGCCACTTCATGCATCGTTGGCCTCTCAGATGGTAGTCTCTTGGTGCATAAAAGAGCTAGCTGAAAAACCTTCTCAACTTCTCCGAGATCTTTACATATCTTGGAGATCTCAGGATCAACTGCGTCCACGACTGCATTGTTCGATGCCTTGGTTAATATCTGCAACAAATAAGAAAGCATTCATGAGATGAATAATGAAATTTCTATTAAATAAAAACAAGAGGAAACAAAATCAGACACTGCATAATATACTCGGATAAAAATGAAAAGAACTGACCAGATGATGAAGATTGGATTCATTATCCACTGCTTTTCTTCCACTGAGCAACTCGAGTAGGACAATTCCGTAGCTGTAGACATCAGACTTCTCTGTAAGACGAGAAGTACGGGCATACTCAGGATCAATATAACCTATTGTTCCCAATACGTTAGTTGAAGTATGGGATTTCGATGTGCATAAGCTTTTGGCAATGCCAAAATCTGTGAGATGGGCTTCATAATCCTTGTCTAATAAAATGTTGGATGACTTCACGTCCCGGTGGATTATGCGAGGGCTACAATCATGGTGAAGATACGCAAGCCCTTGTGCAGCACCCAATGCTATTTTTAGACGAGTATCCCAATCAAGCTTTTTTTTCTTGGTAGGCCCTGAAAAACAAAGCATTCCAACAACTATTCAAACAGTAGTGCGAAAATACTGTGCAAAACAACAGAAGATGGATTACCCACCATGAAGGAGATCCCATAGGCTTCCATTTTCCATGTAATCATAAAACAGAAGATTTCCATGAGGAGAGAGGGAATATCCTTGGAGACCAACTAGGTTTCGATGCTTAATGCTCCCAACTGTCTCAAGCTCTGTCTTAAATTCCTTTAGGCAATGTGGGTAGTGAGAATAGAGTTTCTTAACAGCCACAGGCTTGCAGTTTTTGAGAACACATTTATACACAGTGCTTGACGCTCCATAACCAATTATATACTTCTCATTCAGGTTCTCTGTCATCCTCATAATGTCTTCATATACATGGAGGGCCATATTCATGTGAAGGATAACAAGCTTTGGGGAAGAGTAATTAACTATCAGATGAAAAGACATCAGCTAGTAAACATATTCTAGCCTGATGGGCAATACATTGAAAACTAATAGTAATTATTAATTAGCAATGAGAAGTATTGGCAAAGGAGAAGTTAATGCACCTGGTTTTTTGAATGGTCCGTCCATAAAAGATTTTGGATAGTGTGGTCGGCAAGCCGCTACCAAGATCATAAGAAGAATGACCAAGGCACCCAATGCAATTCCCAGTATAGCTGCTTTTGAAATTACAACTGCATACACAAATGAACAAAACACTAATTTCGAAGATTAGCACAGTTCTCAGATAGTAAGATTTTGCTGGTGATAATGTCTTTTCCAATTCACATTCAATGATATTCTCACCGTGCTCAGTTGCACGAGATGCACGACAAGAAGTGCTAAGCCAGTATCCACAAAGACTAGGATTTCCCAAGAAGCTGACAAGAAAAATGTTAATTAGAATAAACCAAGACAGGAATCACAACAATTAAAACAAGAAAAGAAAAGTTGCAGCTCATTAGCTTTCTGAAGTCAAAAAGATGGTGGAAATACGAAAGCCTCACCTGTCAGGTAAAAACCTTGAAAAGTTATCGCCTGTCGGAATATTCCCGTCAAGGTTGTTATAAGACATATTCCTGCAAAGACACAATTACATGCAAGAAAATAAATAATGCTTTCATGCATCAAAAGTCGTAAAATACTCGCTGGTGTACTTACAGGATTGTGAGACTGATACAATTGGCCAGAGACATTACATCACCAGATAAAGAATTGTTCTCCAGATTTCTACCGGTTTTTAAGAAAGATTATAAAAAAATTATTAGTTGAATAAATCACTCTTTACATACTGATAACAATAAAGAGATGGTCTGTTTAACATTTAACTTTCACTATCATTAGGAGGCAGAAACTTACAGCAAGAAGAGATTTTGAAGCTGACCAAGATCCTGAGGAATCGGGCCCGAGAGATGGTTGTTTGAAAGATCGCTACAAGGGAAAATGTGATTCATAAAATCTCATATTGATCCAAAAAAAAATTAAAATTCCTCATTTATGTAGTATGTTTCCTTACATCTCCATTACACTTCTTAGGTTACTAAACTCAGCTGGTATGATTCCAGTCAAATCATTCTTGCTCAAATTCCTGTTGCATAGAGGGAGTTAGATGAAAAATATACGAAATGAACCAAAATCATGTCATGAAGAACTCACAGTTTCAGGAGATGCTCCAAGTCACCGAGCGAAGAAGGTATGTAACCACTGATCCGATTGTTTGAGAGATCTCTATTGCACCCAAAAAGGGGGGACAAAAAAGTAATTACTTAATCAATTTAAAATTAGGCTTTCGGTTAAAGACAAATTGAACAAGGGACACGTTGATAGATATTTAGTAACCAGGCACTTACAAAGTATCTAAATTTCCAATTCGTGCAAGTTCAATTGGAATGGGGCCCTTAATATCATTGGAGGATAGATTCCTATACAACATCAAGAAATACAGAATTTATACTTGGAGAACATCAATCTCCAGATACGCAACAATGAATACATGCAAACGAAATTTTTCTAAACACAGACGTGCAAGGAACTCACAGATATGTCATGCTCTCCAGCTTCTGAAATACAAGAGGAATAGTTCCATTCAATTTGTTACCATGTGCATTACTGTCATCAAATCATTCAGCAAGTAATCCAGCAAGGCGAAAATTTCATAAAAAATGAAAATAGAACACGAGACTACATCAGATGCTTACAGGCTATTCAGATTTGTACAAGAGCTAAGATTATCTGGTATAGGCCCATCTAAGCGGTTATTGGCAACATTTCTGTGACAAAGCATCGCGACCAAACTTAAATTTTGTGGATCTATAAAGATTGATATAGTAAAACAGTCATAATAAACATAATATACAGGTCAAACAAATCTGTGAGCTTCCCAAGTTCTGGTGGAATATGCCCACTAAGAAGGTTATCATTCAGTTCCCTGTTAAGCAGAAAAAGAAAACTTCAGTAGGAATACTATGCATCATAAATTTTAATCCAAAAAACCAGAAAGCTCATATAATACATTGCTTTTGAAGCAGAAGTTAGGTGCTTATCAGACTACAGATATCCCACATGAATATGAATAATGTACATACTTAATTGTGGAGGTTTATACAGAACCGAATTGAAAAGAAGATTATAAGTAACATACAAATAGTGGAGCTTTGTCATGTTGCCAAGCTCTGGGGGAATGGAGCCAGCTAGGTTGTTTCCATGTAGATACCTATAAACAAAATATAATATGTTACTGGAAGTAAGAAAAAGAAAAGATATTTATCAAATATTTAATGGATGTTATAACTTCTGTAGGCATGCCAAACACTTTTATAGCTCAAAAGAAATTCAACATAATATTTATTATGTATTCAGTTATAAAACAATATATGATTCATATTCATTCAGAATTAGATCCAATATTGTGAAAGAAAAGCAAGAAGCAAAAGTTAGGATTATTGCTCTTCAGATGAAATTTCTGGTGTTTGATCCAACTGGATCACATACAAGAAACATTCATGGCTCTTTTAAATACAGTTTTGCTAGTAAAATAATAAGAGTTCGAAAGGAAGTTACAATACTAACAATTTTTCAGTGTAAGTTAAGTTTCCAAGAATTGAAGGGATTGGTCCACTCAACGTATTGCAACTAAGATCCCTGGAAAAAGAAGGGTGAAGTTCAGTGACATTTTCATAACCTCAGAGAATAAATTAAATGACAGAAGACAATTGTCAGAAACACTAATTTAACTCATAAAGGTGATACAGTGGGAACTAGAAAGCACTTACAAAACGGCAAGTGCCTGCATCAATCCAATTACAGATGGAATTTGCCCTGAAAACCGGTTACCTTGCAATGATCTAATGCACCAGATTCATAGAAGTTAATTAATTTACCATACAAATAGCAAAACTACTCTCCCCAAAGATACTTAGCAGAGCCTTACAAGGTAGCGACTTGGAGAAACCCAATGTTAAATGGAATCTCCCCCGTAAAGTTGTTGTACGACAAATCCCTGACATTTAAAGAAAAGGATTTCACTAAACCCTGTGGAGCACTATCGGCTTTGTTTGGCAAGGTGGATTGTGCAGCATTGGACAATACGTGTGTGTCTGTGTCTGTGTGTGTGTGAAGAAGCTGAAACATTGTCTCATCTCGTCCAATATTGTGTACAAAAAAAGCTCATACAGTTCAACAAATGTTTAGCCAAGGCGGGTACATACAAAACCTGGAAGCCAGTGCAGTTTCCAATACTTTCAGGTATAGAACCCATCAAGCTGTTGTTTCTAACATCACTGTATGCAATAAATGACTATCATCAGCAAAAGAGAGTAATTTGAAGGCAACTGTCACAAGAGCAGAGTGATCGAAACTTACAAGTACCACAACCCTGTTAGTTGACACATGTCAGGGGAAAGAGTACCGACTAAATTATTTTCTCGCAACCCTCTGTGTATTCAGAGGACAAATGTTTATGTACTTTACAAGAATGATAATCCACTAAAGGATGAATACAGCTCAATTTTAAATTATCATACTCACAGATACTGAAGAACTTCATTCCAATAAATAAGTCTCGGTATTTCCCCGCTCAACTTATTCTGAGCCAGGTCCCTAAATTTAAATTTTATGACCTCAATGAATAAAAACTAAAAATAGTATAACCACAATTTGAATAAATTCACAATGTATGACCTCATGATACAAACTAGAAATGGGAATGGTAACAGAACTTACAGTATTTTCAGATTTGGAATTTGAGACAGTGTTGAGGGAATTGGACCGATTAACTGGTTATTTTTTAAAATCCTGATGAAAACAACTATAATGAATAAGTCCAATCGGCTTGAACAGAGAGATTGCAATAGAAAATGAACAAGAAAAGAACATGCTAACGTAGAAAAATGACTAGAACTCAGGAGCAAAAACTCACAAGCTCTCTAGCTGCTTCAGCTTTGAAATGGAGAATGGAATATCCCCACGCAGCAGATTGAACGATAAATCCCTGATAAAAGTGGAATTAAATTCATCATCAAATGAACAAACCACCACTATATTAGGCCTAAACAAATGTAAACCTAAATTAGTTAAAACGAAACAAAAGAACTTACAAGCTTCTCAAAGATGAGCAATCACCAATTTCATCAGGTATCTGGCCCGAGAGATGATTTCCCCTCAAGTCTCTAATATACAACATACACAGCAATTTCATCCCCACTCGGAACTCATAATAGTTGAACACTTGTGTATAAGACTAACAGAAAGATTCATAGACATTCGAAATTTACATAGAGAGCAGGCCCTTGAGCTGTCCAATGGCAGGTGAGATTTCGCCATCAAGATTCAAACCCGAAAGATTACTGCAAAAATTTGAACACAACCCACAATTCACAAAAGATGAAAAATTACAGAATAATCAATTAAAGTACAAGAAGTGATAGAAATTGCAAGTTAATAGACTAAAGGAAGTGTCTTACAATGCAACAACATTAAAGGTGACATTGTCGCAGGTTATCCCTCTCCATACACAATAGCCTGAAGATGGAGAGTCTGTCCAGTCATACAAAACATTTTCCACATCTCTGAATGAATTCTTTATCTCCAGTAAAGATGCCCCTTTTTACATCAAGTTCAACAAAAATAATCAAGAAAATTTGACTAGGAAAAATGGAGTTTTATGAGCTCAAGTGGAGCTAAAAAGTGACGGGGCCTTGAACAGAAACCGTTTGGGTGAGGAGGATCAATAAGACAACAAAAAACAAGATTTAGTAGGTCAATGTAGATAATCACGTCTCGAGTGATTATAATAAGGAAAAATGAAAGAAACCTCCTTAAAAAGTAAACATTAATATAATTACCAAAATATTGAGCCATTTTTTATTATAATACTTTGAACGTCGCTCCTCTTCACTATAATTTTTGACTATACATTTTATGAAAAAAATCATTTTTGACATTTCTATAACTTTTCTCTACTTTTTTATTATCACATATTAACAAAAAATAACTTTTCAATAAATCTTTATCACAGATGCACTAAACTATAGTGACCCAAGAACGATGACAATTAGAGAGAGATATCAGATACCAAAAAAAACACTCACCATCATCAGAATCCCCGGAAGCAACGCTCAAGAACACAACTAGAAATTTCAGAAAAGCAATTATTTTCAAATAATTAGCCATAATCCCAACTTAATAACTGGCTTCAACTACACTCACAACCATCAAGAAACCAGTTTTTTTCTAATCCATACAAAAAAGACAGGTTGAAGTTGATAAGAGAAGGGCTTCGTAGAAATGGTTTTTGGTTGAAATTGCGCAAGTTTATAGTATACCACTTGCAGAGAGCATTGAATCTTACATTCACCGACGTTGATAAAAGAGATTGCAGAAGAAGGAAGAAGAATATAAATACTCCAGTTAGAATTATGGCAAAATGTGAAGGAAGAAAGAAAGAGTAACGTTCAATCACATCGTTCTGCCAAGGAGCTGCTGCAGTGCATGTGAGAAAGAAAAGAGAAAGAGGACTCTCTCTCTCTCTATAAGACAGTGGGCATTTAGTTTCCCTCTCTAACACAACCGATATATATAAAGAGAGAAGGTATCAAGACAATACGTGTCTATATAGAGAGAAAGACACAGTCTTTTGATGACGTACATACGGTACGTATACGTAGATAGAGAAAAAGTTTAAAGACCATCTGCCAACTGCCAAGGTTCCGATACCTGCAACATTACAGCTCTCACCTGAAAATAAATGCTGTATATATATGTAATTTTTTTTTCTTTTTTTTTTTTTTCATAAAATGAGAATTAATTTTCTGAGTTAAGAGGGAAAGAGCTAAAGAGAGCAGTCATTTTTTCATTTGACAATCAAACAATTTCTTTATTTTATCTATCCAACAAAAAAAATCTAATATTGGATGTCAAGTTCGTAGTATTACAAATACAAGTTTATAACAATATGCATGTAAATAGCAGTTTGTTTCCTTAATTTGGTACTGCACTCATTTCTTCATATTCATCAATTTATGGGTTAGAAATAAACCTTTTAACGATTAACCTGTTTTTTAGTATTTGTTTGGAAGAGATTATTTGAAATAAAAAATGATTTTCTCTGAAACGTTGTGATTTAATGTACGAATGATTATAGGTCCACGTGCAAAATTTTATAATTGAGAAGATGTATGCATAAAAATGAATTGAAAATTTATTTTTAAATAAGTTATGTTGGACAAATACTTAATTGTACTATATTCATTTGCTTCTCGCCAAATTGAATAGTGAAACTTTCAGCCCGATTTATCTCTCTACATCATTCCCTTGAAAGAGTGATACAAATTCAAGTTGCGATTGGGGGCTCCAAGATACTAATTACTGGTTGGTCAATTCTATGGTCGATTTCTTCAGAATCGTAACTCATAAAGCATTTGAGGATTGGTTTTGGAAACATTGTTAAACTATTTTATCCCTGAAAATGAATGGTGTATACTTCAATCTACGTAACATGAATGTAACAAAGTCATTTGAAACTCTTAATAAACAATTTCCATTAGTCGGGGTATAGGGTGCCATAATTTTAAAAGGTTGGGTACATGAGTAAAACAAATGATATGTTGAGAATATGAGTTCCACACTTATAAAAGGTAGAGACTCCCTAGTTAAATTAGATTGAGAAGATCTTATTGTTAGATGGGAAGAGGTAGATTAAGATTCTCATTATTATTTCAGACATTAAACAAGCAATCATTTTAATTGTGAAAATAAGTAATTAGTTTTGACACTTCTACTTATGTATGGTAAAGATTTTTTAAGAAGTGATACTTTACAAAGTGTTTCTTTTGTCAACGTGTGATTTAAATGTAAAGAAGAAATATGAAAAAACGTGAAGAAATCAATGAGAATTGAGATATTTTGTCTCACCAAACATGTCTTACTAAGTTTGCACTTGATGTGTGGGGCTGAAAATCATAAATAGGGCCACAATGGCCAATCGCAGCGCAGCTTAACTAATCGAACTCCATACATTTTTCACCCTGCCTTCAAAATGAGAACTTCTTTTTATTTTTCACCATCTTTCGATACTTTTTTTTCTTTCATTCTCATTTTTAATCACACATTCTTACAATAAAATATTCTTTACATAAATCCAAAACTTTCCTAAACTTTTAACAACACATTCACCAAAAATTATTATTTAAAGACTCATTCTTTACGCACACAAAAAAAGACCGTCAAACAGATGCTTAACCTCAATGGGAGGGAAAGAAGGCCATTTGTCTACTCATTCACCCACGGCCTTATTCGGACATGAATTAAGCTACTTTGCAAGAAAGTGTTGAGATCTTAGTTGACAAATGTATTGATAACAAGAAATGATTGAATGTAAAAGTTTATTATTTTTAAAACAATTCAATGACAAAATGTTAGTCTCTGAAGGAAGATGCCAAATTTTTCTAACAATACGATGTTGGAGATAACATTTGTTTATGCATTTTGAGCCCACCACCTTGTGAAGCTTGGCCCATACCATATTTCACGACCCCCCGCCCCCCCTAACGCCGTTATTAATGTCACTATCCTAGGTCCCCTTTTGTTTGACGCAAAATGGAATTAAGGAACATTTCAAATGGGAAAATTTCATAAGTACATATTTCTTAATCAAGAAAACAAGTTTCAAAAATTAGATTTTTATTGAAATTTATTTATGATTTAATTAATTAATTTATTTATTTATTAATTACATATATTTAGACCACAGATTTGTACAATTTGATCACAAATTAACAATATAATTAGTCACTTTTTATTTATGAGTCACAAATTATTTTACAGTCACAATAAAATTTTTTTACAGTTCATAGTTTGATCATCGGTCACAAATCAAAAAATTTGTGAATTATGATTTATTTATTGGTCACAAATCACAAATATTATAAGTTACAATTTATTACACATTCACAAATTATAAAATTATAGATCACAAAATAACAATTTTTTAAGTCACACGTTATTTCTTGGTCACAATTTATATTTTTTATTGGTCACATATTATTTATTAGTAATAGATTGACCAATTTAACGGTCACAGTTAATCAAATAATTTGTGACCACCATCTCACACTGCCTTCAGTAGCACCACCACCACCACCAGCTCCCGACAATTGGTCACGAACCCCAAAATAGTTGGTCACAAACACTTTCATACTACATCGCCACCACAATCGCAACCTGCAACCACCACACCACCGTCGTCACCACCGTTAACACTACCACCACCATCACCACCACAACCACCGCACCTCTACCACCTGTATTTCCAAACCACCAAAAAAAACCACAAAACCATCCATATGTTATGTCTTCCACCGGGCAGATCAAACCACTACCTCACCACCAACACCACAAAAAACATCACTACAACCACCAATGAAAATGAAAAAAGTGCCGCCACCACCACCTCGAATCCAAAACTGCTAGCATCCCACAACTGCCATCATCATACTATGTCATCGTCGTCGTCATCTCCACCCCACCGCTGCCACCACCACCACTTCATTTAACCACGAGTCCTTCAAAGACCTAGTAGTGACAAAACCACCACGGTCTGAAAAACCACCTAAACGGGAAGCCACTTTTAACCCCCACTCCTTCAAAGACCTAGTAGATCTCACAGATATGCTCCCAGAGGGTATGTGCGGTGGCTTGCGCCGGCATTGTCACTGCGCCACTGCTCTGACATTGTTGTTGTACGATTCGAACGATGGTTGCTGCTTCTCATGAGATGGGGCGGCGAAGAGACAAAGGCACGACACCAACTATGCCCAAAGAGACGCTAATTCCATTTCAATCGCTGCTCCAAATTATGGTGGCGGTGGCGACAGTCGTGGTGATCATGGTGGCGACGAGAGAAGAGTGAGCGACGAGAGAGAGGAGATGTAGAGAGGGAATGGGATTAGGGGAAATTATTTGGGGTCGAGGTGGGTTAGGATTGTTGGTTTATAAATTAAATAATTAATATAAAAAACAAAATTCTTATTTTTGAAATATCAAACTTCCAACATGATTTTAGAATGTTGAATACTTAAAGTATGATTGGGTATAATCTCCACGTTCAGAATTAATGTTTTTGTTTGTTTATCATTTGGGTAATTAAAGTTTCCATCATAAACTGTAAATTGGTAACTTGATGAAATTCGATTATTTTCATGCGAATTGTTAAGTCTGGCAATTAATAGATATTATCCCACCGATGAAATGCCAGAGAAATTTGACGATAATGTCAACTTATCAAGTAAATAGTTGTCCCTAGTAACTTTTGCAACACATCGAAATCAAAAGAACTAGTTATGTTTGATGATGTGTAAATAGTTGTCTGCACTACCTCAAATGGGGTGCTGACTGCCCAGTAAGTCAGGTAATCGACGGGAACGAGAACATGGTCTCCACCTCGTTCCTACTCTAAATTTTAAATGGTTTTACCATGGATCATCGCCAAGCCGTACAGTCCAGCCCTTTTTCACACCACTAGCCTCGTGCCGTTGTGAAGAACAGATTCGGAGTGCATGCTCGACAACGATTAAAATTTTTTAAGTAGGACATTAGCTATTTCTCACTAACATTAGCCTTTCTGTTGTGTCTTTTATGTCAATTGCTAGTTTGATGTCTCAAAATTTGAGATCTCATATTATCCAAACACAAGTGAATGTGCGCGTTATATCATAGGTCGTAATCCATAGTTCATAACTTGTAACCCATTAACACAAAGCAAAGAATAAAAAACAAACCATNGTGCGCGTTATATCATAGGTCGTAATCCATAGTTCATAACTTGTAACCCATTAACACAAAGCAAAGAATAAAAAACAAACCATTTACAGGGATAGGTCGACAGGTCCTGGTCGCCCTTAAATACAACATATTTACGCCAACCCGAGAAATAACTCCAAATACATTGCTACTACCTGAACATTTTGACAAATTTTAAAGCACACAAGCAAAATTTGCGTTTCACTAGTTAGATTGGACATTCTACACATCACACAACTTAGAAAGGAATATAATGGAAATAAAATATCATCACAATCCAATAGGCTCTCGCTTGGATATTCCTTGCTTTACTCGAATGATTGTGGGCATGGGTTTACTTTCCTTCTGAAATGCACGTGAAACTGTGGAAGGTTATTTATTCCTGATTTCTATTCATGAGAAAAATAAATCCCAGAAAAATTCATGTCATTTTAAATATTACACAACTGAGAGTGGGGGCTGTAATGATTCATAATGAAAGGGTCATCAGTTGCAGTCAAACAGAAGCCAACTCACACCAATGTTGCTTCATTTTGCTGGTATCAATTGTCGGCAATGCTCTTTTCCCTCTTTCTCTGATGCCCATGGAACTGCAGAAGCAGTGAATTGGTGACAACAAAAATTGAGCTCAAAGCCATCATACCCCCTGCAAAAAGACAAGTTATGGCAACCCTTAGAAGTTTCAATGATAGCAATGAATAAATTGTAACATGCATGGATACAAGTCATTTCTTTGTCATAGTCCATGGGGTCCTCGTTTAGTTGTTTTGCTAGAAAAGGCAATGACACAGGCAACTTCATTGAAGGGCCTTACCAGAAAGAGAAGGTGTCATAGCAAAATCAAAATGAGGGAGTAGCATTCCAGCAGCCATAGGAATTGCAAAAACATTATATGCTACTGCCCAAGTCAAATTTTGACGAACTTTTCCCATCGTTGCCCTTGAAAGGTCTATTGCCTCTACTACCTGCTCCAGGTAAAATATTCCTCAGTTGAAGGAGATTGGGAGGAAATATCCATATTGAATTCCATTATTGGCAACTACAAAAATTGAGCTCTGAAAATACTGATGTAAGATAAACAAAAGAAAGGTTCTTTGTAATAACAGAAAAATACTACCTTAAATTAACAGTATTTTGCTGCAATATCCAAGGAACACTATTTACTTGTTTGCTCTTTATTTATAAGATTCAACAATTTGTATCTGCTAGACGTTTAAAAACTTGTAGCCGTTATTTATTGGACGTCTAAAAAAGACACCAAGCACCATGATAAAGGACAATGGATGAGTGTGAAGTAGAAAAATAGTGATAAGAGAGAAGAAAGAGAAGAATAAAAAAAATAGAGAGAAACTTGGGGAGAAATTTCAACACGTTGTACATCATATATCTCCATTATTCAGAATTGTTAGTCCTGTTTATACTTTTAAATCTCTGATGAAAAGGGACAAATTTTCAACTCAAAACTAGGCCTAGGCATGGCCAAGAACCGGAACCAAATTGAAAATTATTGGTTCTTTAATATTGGAACAATTTGGTTCCCTTCGTAGTATTGGAACCGAAAAAAACCTCATAAAAATAGAAATGGCTCTAATGGTTCCGGTTCTCTGGCCTCCTACTACTCAAAACTAATAATTTCGATAAGAAAAAAGATCAAAATCAATTTCCTATTTTTATGCCAAAAATAACTGCATAATTTTGGAATGTCTCCAATTCAAGTCTGTATGACAATCTCCACCAGCATGATAAGAAGAAAATGCAAACCTGCGAAAGTCTATTTCCGAGAAGTATAATGGATGCTGCATTAGATGCAGCATTTTCTTGTCCTTCAATTTGCAATGCAATCCCAACGTCAGCAAGGGCAAGAGAAGGTGCATCATTGATGCCATCACCAACCTTCACAAGCACAAGACACATAGTTTGATAGTTCTGAATATCAAATTCCACCATTCGTCACCAAAATTGATGACAAATCTTCTCGTGAATACACATAATTGTCCTAATTTTCAATAATGAAAAGTAAACAGTCCAGCATAGTCAAATTATCAGGCCGTGCATTGTGACCAAGAAACAGTTCTCTCCAATAAAATTCCTAGGTCGAAAGTAGTCATATTCTTACAACACAGATTTGTCCATGCAAACTACAAAGCAGAAGTTCTAATAATCTATAATATATTAAATATCACATCAAGTGAGAATCATTTTTGGACGATTTTAAACATACTACAATTCAATTATTTCAATAATACCTTATTTTTCGTTTTTCAATATATAATAAATAGTACAAAATCCTTGTCATGTATGAATTTCATTTTATTAATTTTCAATCAATTAACATTCACATTAATCTAGACTTGTTGCACCTTGATTTATATGAATATAGAGTTATTATAAATGAGTTTATTTTTATTCATGTATTTAAGAATTTTAATGGGTGTTTAAATTCATGTATTTGCAATTAATTCTTACGTATCAAATATATTATAAAAATGTTGCTTATTTGTAGTATTTAATCATCATAAAAAATTTGAATCATAGAAGTTGAATTTTGAGAGTATAATTTTCTTCTCTTAAATAACTATCATAAATTTTATTTTCTTTAGTTGGCATGAGACTCTTCAAATCCTCCAAAAAATTAGTATCAAATATTACTTTCACAATACTTATAAAGTATTTTAGTATAACGTGCAATGCACGTGTAACTCTTACTAATAGGTGTAAAAAGTGCTATTTCCCAATATCAGGCTCATTTGTATGATAAGAACATATAATAAAAATAGTCTTTTCTAATTTTCAACTTGAGAAAATTACCATTGCAACATGATGGCCAGAGTTCTGAAGACTTGAGATGATGCCAGATTTCTGCTGTGGCATTATGGAAGCATTGACAAATTCATTATCGATGCCGACTGTCTTTGCTACAGTTGCAACTGCCTCTTCCCTGTCCCCAGATAAGAGGACTGTTTTAATTCCCTTCTGCTGAAGCCTTTCAAGCATTAAAAGTGGAAAGATATAAGAAAGGTGAATATGGGAAAAGTACTTAAGAACAGCCAACATGATAGTTATGAACATATTACTTCATATGAAGTATTTTCTGCTTTTGGCCAAGCTAATTATTATAAAGTCCCAAATTGAGATACCGTCCATTCCTTAGATTTTTATGTACTAATGTAAGATGAGGACTACTTTGGGTCCTATTCTGTCTCATGAAGAGTAAGCAGTACCTAGTTATTGTAGATTTAGCATCAGGACGCAAATTATCGGATATCGCAATAGCACCAATGATGCCTTCTCCTTCCCGGCCAACATAAACAACTGTACTTGAATGGTTTGATGATGAACTGGTTACTGATGACTGAGATATCACAGACCGCTCCAATCTCTTTAGATCAGAAGAGTTCGTTCTTTGCTGGAAACGTTCATGAACCCAATTCAATTTGCCTACTGCTACTAGCAGCCCATCTACCTCTGCCAAAGTTCCAGAACCAGGTTCAGTCAACTGTCTATTTGTGACAGGGATGCTCAAATTCAATGATTCAGCTTTAG